TTTTATTTATTTATTTGACGCACAGAGAGAGAGATCACAAGTAGGCAGAGAGAGAGGGGGAAGCAGGCTCCCCGCTGGGCAGAGAGCCTGATATGGGGCTTGATCTCAGTATCCTGAGATCATGACCTGAGCCGAAGGCAGAGGCTTAACCCACTGAGCCACCCAGGCGCCCCGCTTTCTTAAAGTATTTTTCCATGAATTCCAAGAGGTCAGATTCTCAGTAGACTTAAATAAGGTTTATATCATTTAAAAATTGATTACATCTGCTGTGGTATAATTTAATTGTTTATACTTAAAGAAAATATGGGGAATTATATTTAGCATTACTTGTCATACCCATGAGGAGTTCCCAATAATAAGCAAAAGAAGAAATCTGGACATTTTAAAAGACTTTAAAAACAGTTTCTCTCCCGCTCTCTTTTTTGCTTATTTATAACAATAGATGTGAGCTGTAAGGATAGAAAGTTAAGAAATTTTAATGCAATTATAATTAGATTATTTTTTCTTTAATAAAGATTTTATTTATTTATTTGAGGGAGAGAGAGAGAAAGAGAGAAAGAAAGCACAGAGAGAGAGAGAGAGTGAGAGTGAGAGGGAGAAGTAGACTTCCCACTGAGCAGAAATCCTAATTCAGGACTCAGTCCCAGGACACTGAGATCATGACCTGAGCCGAAGGCAGATGCTCAACAAACTCAGCCACACAGATGCCCCTAGATTAAGTTTTTTCTATTGAGGTACAATTGATATATAATAGCTTATTAGTTTCCAGTGTATATCACAGTGACTCAATATTTTTATACATTAAAAAATGATCCCCACCATATAAGTCTAGTTACCATTTGTTACAATACTGTTGACTATGTTCCCTATGCTGTACATTACAATCCCACTGACTTACTTATTTTATGACTGCAACTTTGTACCTCTTAATCCTCATCATCTGTTTTGTCCGCCCCCCTCCCCCACTGGGCAAAACTTCCCCCCTCTGGTAACCAACAGTTGGGTACCTGTATCTATGAGTCTGTTTCTATTTTGTCTTGTTCATTTGCTTTGATTTTTAGATTCCACATATAAGTGAAATCATATGGTATTTATCTTTCTCTAACTTATTTCATAAATGCTAAAACATAATATTCTCTAGCTCAATCTATGTGGTCACAGATGGTAAAATTTCAGTCTTTTCCACGGCCAAGTAATATTCCATATACTGGCTGTTGTAAATAATACTACAATAAACATTGGAGTGTATATATCTCTTTGAATTAGTGTTGTTATTTTCTTCAGGTAAATACCCAAAAGTGGAATTGCTGGATTGCATGGTAGTTCTGTATTTATTTTTTGAGGAACCCCCATACTGTTTTCCACAGTGGCTGCACCAATTTACACTCCCACCAACAGTGCCCAAGGGTTCCCTTTTCTGCACATCCTCACCAACACTTGTCATTTTTTGTCTTTTTGATAAGCGCCCATCCGACAGGTGGGAGGTGATATCTCACTGTGGCTTTGATTTGCATTTCCCTGATGATGGGTGGTGGAGAGCCTTTTTTCTTTCTTTCTTTTTTTTAAGATTTTATTTATTTATTTGACAGAGAGAGATCACAAGCAGGCAGAGAGGCAGGCAGAGAGAGAGGAAGGAGCAGCCTCCCCGCTGAGCAGAGAGCCCGATGCGGGGCTCGATTCCAGGGTCCTGGGATCATGACCCGAGCTGAAGGCAGAGGCTTTAACCCACTGAGCCACCCAGGCGCCCGAGAGCCTTTTTTCATATGTGTGTTGGCCATCTGTATGTCTTCTCTGGAAAAATGTCTATTCACATTCTCTGTCCATATTTTAATCAAAATTCAAAAATTTTATAAAAATTTTTATTATTTTTCCATAGGTAAAATAAAACAATTTTAAAAGGTAACATATTCCAAGATACTTAAGATATAGTTCCGAGAGAAAAATGAAAGCTCTGCAATGAAAGTTTGTGCTCCCTTAAGATCGGATTTCACCATTCAGGCAATTCAAAATTAACACCACATAGTCCCCAATCTGATTAAGAAACGTTCACCAACAATTTAGAGAATCTGAAGAAGCCAAATGGGAAGAGAAAACTTCGCAGGTTTGCATGTACTTCTACCAGTAAGATAATGAGAATGATTCTTGAGAAGATAACCGATAAAGGCCGTGATAGCTATAACACACAGAACCAGTCATTCAGTAATTCAGGGTTTAATGGCATTTTTTTTGTTTTTGTTTTTTTCTTTCTTAGGCTTCTGCTTAAAATACAACTAATGAATCATTGAACACTACATCAAAAACTAATGATGAAAAAAAAACTAATGATGTACTACTATAGGTTGGCTCATTGAACATAATAAACAAACAAACAAATAAATAAAAGCATGGGGAAAAAACTCCAAACAGTATTCTTGATTTCTGCCCCTAAAGCTGATCCCGTCTAAATATAATGCCACTCTTACTTCTAACAAAAAGGCACAGAAAGTGGTACACGTTTTTCAAGAGGCTTAATCTGGAGGAAGAAGAACTAGCCTCCCTAGAGAAACTTCAAATGGTGATGAAAAGTCCCCCAACAAAGTAGAAAATAGACTTGTAAAATATGTTAGAAATTTTTACTGTGTGCTGCGCCTGGATTGCTCAGTCGGTTAAGCATGTGAGTTTGCTTTTGGCTCAGGTCATGATCTCAGGGTTGTGAGCTCGAGCCCTGCGTCATTGCACTCTACACTCAACAGTGTACATAGGATTCTCTCTTCTTCTCCCTCTGGTCCTCCCCGCTCACCACGCTTTCTGTCTCTCTTTCTCTAAAATAAATAAATAAATCTTTAAAAAATAAAATGTGAGTCCTCACTTATTCCAAATAATTTTTACTAAAATCTAAAATAAAAAAATTACATAAGAACTAAAATTCAGTTGAGATGGCCATGATTTAAAAAACCCAGCAGTAAAAAAAAAAAAAATACTGGAAGTTCATTGAGACTCAGGCACTAAAGATAGATTAACTTCAACTGTGACTGCTCCTATTTACCCACTGCCTTTGAGAGACTTTAAATACAATCATGTCATGTTCACAAGGATTTGACTGCAAATCACAGTCTATAGAGACCAATTTCTATGTAACACTATTTTGGAGTGCTAAAAAATTTTCAACTTCAACTGCTCAACTTCACAGATATCTGTTCATCTGAAATGTCTAAAGCATCCTTTGAACTTCTTTGCTCTGATGTTCCTTTTAGATCACAACACAAGGAAACCATTGGCAAAGGTTTCCTGAAATAAGCAAACATTTCCCCTATGCCCAGGTATCCCATGCCCCTGGGTCTCCCTAACGCTTAGGATCTATCTGATCTAGCAGGCAGGGAGCAAACTCATTTACCTTCTCCCCAATCTACTAGATGTGTTTAAAAATTACTTCCTAACAGATGCCTTATAATGCACTGTGCCTGGAATGTTAACACTGGTCTTTCTGTTTAGGCTTCTATTCTTCGGGAGCAGCAGGTTCCCTCCTGATGTCTTTGACATCATTGGTTGTGCCCATCAAATAGAATTCTTTGTTGCAAACAAGACTGACAAAATGAGCGAGGCGGTTGGACATGGAAAAAAAAGCTGAAACGGCAGCGATATCCCAGGTATCTTCTCTGTTGAAGCTCTGCCGCTTGAGAGCTTTTTGAAATGGTCATCTGTTATGTATCAGCTTGGAAAACTGCAAGTGCAGACTCCAGCAGGGAGGTCAGACTCTCTCCAGTTCACACACACCTGGTCAGGGAGCACTGGGTTCTTCAAGTAGACCCTGTACCTGGCACTGTGGACAACCCTACTGCATGGGCTCTTCTTGGCCAGGCTGGTCACTATGATGACCAGTTCCCTGTCAGATCGGCTGAGCTGGCCTGTTTCTTTGTTGCAGATGGCATTGTAATAAGCAAAGAAGGCTCTGAGTTCTAATGGCTGGTGAGACAACAATTTACATTTGGTAAAAATCCTGTCAGCGGTGACAGGACTCTGAGGGAGCGAAGCACAGACCTGCTGGCGCCCTGTTCGAAGCCAGGAGGCCTTCCTGCAGGTGCCTGCCCTCTCACAGCTTTTTTTTTTTTCAATACAAAGTCATAGAATTTCTTTCTACATTTTGGATATTAACGCTTTATTGGATATATGATTTGCAAATGTCTTCTCCCATTCAGTAGGCTGCCTCTTCATTTTGCTGATGGTTTCCTTTGCTGTGCAGAAGCTTTTAGATTGATGTAATCCCATTTATTTATTTTAGCTTTTGTTGCCCTTGCCTGAAGAGGCTGGTCCAAAAAAATTCTGCTGAGACTAATGTCAAAGACCTTACTGCCTATATTTTCTCCTAGGCATTTTTGGTTTCAGGGGTTACAGTTTTCAATCAGTTTTGAATTTATTTTTGTGTATGGTGTAAGATAGTGGTCCAGTTTGCCCAACCCCATTGATTGGAGATACTCTTCAGTGCTGGCTTTGCTTTTCCGCTATTTAAAGCCAGCTATGTGGACGCCTGGGTGGCTCAGTTGGTTAAGCGGCTGCCTTCGGCTCAGGTCATGATCCCAGAGTCCTGGGATCGAGTCCCACATTGGGCTCCTTGCTCAGCGGGGAGCCTGCTTCTCCCTCTGCCTCTGCCTGTGCTCGCTCGCTCTCTCTCTCTCTGACAAATAAATAAATAAAATCTTAAAAAAAAAAAAGCCAGCTATGACTTCCTCCCCAAGGAGGAATTCTTAGACATTCTTAGACAACTTACTCCAGTGCCTGAAACTGGAGAAAAGTGGGACATCCGACAATGGCAATGCAGACCCGAGAATTTATCTTTATTCATCCAGAACTGACAGGTGGAGCCAAACACGTGGGCAGGGGGCGGTTAACTCGGACTTGGCCTTACCACCTCCTTGCCCCGCCCCCTACAGTCTGGGGGCGGGTCAGGAGGCCAGTCAGTGCCCCGCCCCTCAAGCCTCGCGCCAGAGGGCGGAAGTGACGCAAGCCCAAAGCCATTTCCGGCGGGCCGAAACTAGGAAGAAACTTGGAGCTGCCTAGGCGCTCCTGGCAGGGTCTCTGTTCCTCCTGTGCCCCGTGGCCCGGCAGCGCGAAGCTGTCGGGATCCCTGGCCATGGGGCAGCCCCGGCCCTCCGCAGTGTGAGGCGCGGGGCCTCCCGCGGGCTCCCCGATAGGCCGAGGGCGGGCAAGCGGGAGGCGTCGTTCCAGCTGCGGTCACGGCCGCTGTCGGCCGGGCTCCCGGCATCATGAACATAGACGTGGAGTTTCACATCCGGCACAACTACCCCTGGAGCAAGTTGCCGGCCAACGTGAGGCAGGTACGGCCGGAATCTGGGGTCGGGGCCCCGCCCTGCCGTCACCTGCTCACCTTGCCCGCTGGGCCGGGGCTGCCCCTGGCGGCTGACTCCCGCTCTTCCCCCGCCGCGGTCTCGGGGCAGTAGTCCCGCAGGCTAGGGGTTCGGAGGGGACGGCTGTGGGGCCACAGGGGCAGGATGGGGCGGTTGGTAAATGGGATGGACTCGCTTGGCCCCTTTGCCTGTAGTCTCGTTAAAACCAGGCGCTGGGTCAGGCGCTTGCGACCCTTGATCTCCAGAACTTCAGGATGGTGGGGAATAGACGAGAAACAAGTGACTGCGTTACAGGAGGATAGCCGCGCACACATCCTTGTATTGTAGTGTATGTGGGCACACGGAGGAGTAAGAAATTGTCCAGGGAGTGTCTGGAGCCCGTGTGGAGGAGGCACTGAAATTGGGCCTTAAAGGACGAATGAGAGATAAGAGGGAGTAAGATTTTCCGGGGAGACGGAAAGTTATTTGAAGAACTTGGACGAGTGAAAGAGCGTGTTGAGAGTAGCTAGCAACTTAGTATCCCGGGAGGTGGAGATGTGGGTATACTGGTGTTTGGAGGTGGGATTTTGTGAGTGAGTGGAGGTTGGTTGGTAGCAGATAAGTCTGGAAAAGCAGGCAGGGCCAGATTTTGAAGGGGCTTTCCTACTCTGATTGTTGGACTGTATCCCCTAGACAGGATAGGCTTACTAGCGATGTTTGAACAAGAGAGTGTCAGGAGGTTTTTTTGGGTTTTTTTTGAGGGTTAATTCTGAACTGCTTGAATGACATTTTTACCAGTTGCTCAGCAAATGTTAACTGAACACCTGATTGCTATGCCTTGTTCCAGGTATGGGTAATTTGCCCCAGTCAACAAGATAGAGACCCTGCCTTCATGGAGCTTATGTCTTAGTAAAGAAAGACAGTAAACAACGAAACAAAGAAGTACTGAACATGGCAGGTGGTGTTGAATCTTAGGAAGATAGTGATAGATGCTGCATATAAGGCGCTGTTTCTCTGGCCATGGACTGAGCTTCAAGTTCCTCCCTTTCTGCTTGGTTCAGAGTGAAATTCTGTTTTCCACTGGCGCTGGGCAGTTATATTTGGAACGTTTGGGATGGTGGTGGTGATGGTATAGGATTATTAGTTTGCTTCCTCACTCAGCATGGGGGCGTAGTACTGGGAAACAAATATTAAGGTCCTGGCAATGCATCACGTGATGGGGAAAGTGCTTTCAACGGAAGATACCCAACAAGAAAGTAGCAAGATAAAGGAACTAAGATTTCTTGGTTTTCTGTGGCTGCCCATGTGGCATTTATCTTGACTTGGAAGAACAAAGCTCTAAGCTTGAAAGAGTGTTTCTCTTGTTAAGCTCGAATGAAGGCTTTGGTAGTTTTGTTCTTTAGAGTTTTGTGGCGTATCCAGAGACAGCTGGAAGCACCAAGAGTGCTTTTCTTTGTTTCCATCTTTACTTTTCGTTTCACGAATATAAATGTAGCATAATGGAAGAAAGATGGATGATTCAATTACGTTTAGCATGAATAATGGATCTCAATTAGTATTGGCAAAAGCATATCTAATACTTAGGACTATTAAAAATAATCACAAATCAGTATTATCATTTGGTAGAAATGTGACATTAAATTAAAATTTGATAAGATCACTTAAACAATAGCTGTCTTAGCTTAGGATAAACTTCCACTTGGAGAAGGTGTTGGAAAATCCATCTGTACTACTTACTTCCTTGGACTTTATCTAGCCTTACTACTGTTCACCTAGGTCACGCTCCACCTTGGATTGCTACATCAGCTTTCTGTCTGGTCTTTCTTCTTCAGTGAAGGACTCCCTCACATTCATTCCTCATAATATACTGGGGTGAGATTTCTAAAAGGCCCATTCAGTCCTGTACTGCCTGTCTCTTATAGATTACTTGTAACTTCTTGAATGTCAGAACTCCTCCAGGAAGGATTTCCCTGACCTACATCTAGAGAAGTTGACCCTCCCTGGAACTGTTTCTCATCCATACCATTCAACCCCACTGTGTTGCATTTGCTGCTTACATTACCTGTTTTGCTTTTGTATTTTGGGCACCTATCACATGGTTGGCTTTTAGTAAATATTTTTGGAGCAAGTGAGTGATGGTATCAGTCAGAAGTATTTTTCCAGGACTAAAGCTCAGTCACTTTAAAAGTGGGAAATGGTCCTTGTACGGAAGGAATTTGTTTTTTTGCCATTATTTAGTATTGCTATTACTAAATACTTTGATAGAGTTTCCAGTAAGCTTTGATGACTTTAATTTAGAAATGACTCATTTCCCACTCCTGAAAGCTGTGAGAAGGTGATTTCAGATTTTTCTTAAAAGCGCATGTCTAGTGGTAAGGGGATTCCAGATTTTTACGAACTGTACATAAAGCTTTTATATGGATGGGATGAAATGTTTTTATTTGATAATGGTCTGTGCAGGACTTTAAAAAATACATTAAAAGTTGTAGATAAGGCCATTATTTCAAGGTTTTTTGTAGCTTATTAGTTTCTTGTATTCATTATTCAAAAACAATTTGTAGTTATTTTAAGGAAAGTCTTATGACGATGTTCTGTATCATCTAAGAAAGTCAGTTAAAAAATTGTGCGTATCTTTATTGTGGAGGGCCGTGATTGGTGTTTGTGGGAGCAAAGTCTTTAGAAAAAAATTCCTTCTGCTATTAGCATAATCTGATGTGCAATGGTTGTCTGATAGCCAGCGGCTACGCCTCTCTGAATCTGTTATGGTGCCTTTTATATGCCGCTGTACTTCATCTGTCAGACCTGGTCCTTATTTCTGCAGGGTCAGTGGGTCTCAGAGTAAAATGACCCTTTTAGTTTGCTTCCTGTGGTGGTAACAGTGTTTCAGAATGTGGATGGTGGGAAATTTGGGGGAGAAGTGGAGAGAAGCCAAGGAATCTTTGTGAACAGAGCAGTTTTATTTTATGTATCTGGGTAGTGAAGAACAAAATCAACTTCTAAGAAAGTTTTTAGGTATTTGTGGGCCCACATATGTATTGATTGATCAGGGTCAGTTGTTACTTAATTCCTGGCACGAAGGCTTAGATGTTGAAACGTTGCATTCTCTAACTGGCTTATAATTAACAGGCCCTTATGTTTTGTATGAGTGGCTTGATTACACTTTTTGTTCTGGCGTTCCCAGGAATGAAGTTAGAAAGGCGGAACCTGGTTGTAAGTTGAGATAAATTAAGAGATTTATTTTAAAACAGAAGAGCAAACCTCAAGTGCAGAAGATGCTCCAGGTTCTACCAAAATCGTGTGCTGTGTGCGTCTGTGTTTTGTGTTCTTTGGGAAAGAGGCTTACTTCTCTGGCAACAAAGCTAGAGAAAACCCTTTACAAGTTTTGTAGCAAACCCAGCATTTGAATTCCCCTCAACATCTTTATTACCCAGGTTTTGGTGCTGCATAGAGGATGTGAAGTAGTGTCTCTGTGATGACCTTTGCTCCTAACCTCTGCAGATGTTAAGATGGATGAAAAAAATAAAAGCACGTATATTCTGTCAGTAGTACGGGTCACTGTTTAGCCTGTGAAAACTAATTAACATAGGTTCAGGAAGAAAGATTTCCGTTTTCTCACATGTCACTTTTTTGTTAAAGTACATCCCACCAGTGGTCCAGTTATGGGCCAGTTTATTCTATGTCTTAACCTGTCTTATGAAGATGGCCTTCGGTGAAGGTATGTGTAGAAACATTTACCTTGGCTTTGCAGACCTGTGGGTAGGAAGTATAATAACTTAATCCTCTGATCTTTCTGCCATTAGTTTCTAAGATGTCTGATTTTATATTACAGCGTGTTGGAAAGATCATACCTAGTAATTAAAAAGAGGGAGAGCAGTCATGTTAAATTGAGTTTGTGGTTGCACATTGAATGTAATGTTGACTGTAATCAGACATACTTGTTCCTTGTTTTCATGAGAGCCCAATTTTGAACTTAAAACACCAAAGCACAGCTAGAAAGGTTTTTGCCCATTAAAAAGTGTATCAGAATTCTAAAGTTGTCTAAAAATTTTTTTTAACAAAACCATAAGGAGAAGGTGTTTTTTTAGAAGTCATCTTATTGGGGCACCTGGGTGGCTCAGTCGGGTAAGCACTGGACTCTTGATGTCCACTCATGTCATGATCTCAGGGTCCTGAGGTTGAACCCCTGCATTTGGCTCTGTGCTGAGTGGGCAGCCCACTTGAGATTCTTTTTCTCCCTCTCCCTCCACTCCTCCCCACACTTGCATGTGTGCGCATGCTCTCTCTCTCTCAAATAAATAAATCTTAGAAAGAAAAGAGGAAAGAAGTCATCTTATCATTTAGAGGTACATTTGAAATGTACATTCTCCAGAGACATTAATTTTTAATAATCATAGCACTCAAATGTAAATAATTATCAGACAGGGATCTGTCTTTAGTTGCCACTCTTAAATTAAAAAGATAAGTAGGTGTAAGAAACCATCCATTCATCTATCTATCCATCTGTCCACTTATTCAACACACACAAATTAGGAACAGCCAAGAAAGAAATCTTTTTAAGTAGAGTTTAGTTTTTTGTTAGTTTAATGAAGTTATGCTCTTGGACTGTTATTTGATATTAAATACTTTAGGTAATTTCAGTTAAGTCCTTTTAGAAAGGCAAACTGAAAATAAACACATCGAATTTTTGTTTAATATTATAGAATGAAAATTAGTATAATAGCATTTAAGAAAATATTCTTTGTCCTGGAAATTAGAGGTAGTAGGATAAAATTAAGGAGCATGGTTTTGAAACTGTATGAGGAAAAAGTATTGTTTAGTTCAGAAGCTATTTTTAAAACTATCTGATTTTTTTTTTTTTTAAGAGTCTTGGAAATTCACAGAGAGAATATGAAAAGCAGGTTGTTCTTTACAGTATCCGCAATCAATTACGATATAGAAACAACTTAGGTAAGTAGAGACATTTTTATATCACGGTGGAAACACCTGTTGCTATTTACCATTTTCATTAATCTATCCTGTCTTTCCCATGCATGTTTTATAATACTGAAATTACTCCATGTAGACATTTTAGAAGCTCTGTACTGACCCATCCCACCTAACAACAATTTGTATGAGCAAGTAAATTTTTCCTTCTAAATCGGATTCAAATTATTTTTTTTTAAGAGTATCATTTGTAGATTCATTTTACCTATAGAATATTAATCTCAATTCAGACGTACTTTTTTCACTTTAGGTGAAAAAATAAGCCAGAAGAGAAGTACGTTCGTTCTTAATAGTTTCTGATTTTGGATTTTGTGGGTTTTTTCCCCATAAATTTTCAAAATATAAGTTTAATGAAATCTCTGTAATAATTGGAACAAATTTTAAGCATAGTTGATTGTGTGTGTGTGTGTTTTAACTTTTTCTTTAAATGTTTGGTTTTTGTCAGATGACTCATTAGTCTGTTCTATTGCCCTGCTAGTCTTCCTGTGCATGGATTTACTCTCAGATTAAGCACTATAGTTCAGAGATAGTTTTGTTTTATTTAAATGTATTTCATGGGAATCAGGGGTCTTTTTCCATTTAAAGAACAAAAACTATTAAATAATTTTTTGAAATTGACTTGATGCATTGAAAACTACCATTCAGTTTGGCTCTCTTGTGGTATAGTAAGGGATTTGATGAATTCTAGCTTGCGTTTTGCATCTTTTAGAGAGAACATTCCATGATTGCTTTCTTGGCTTTCTGACTTGGTAAGAATTCTTTCTGTATTTATCTGTCCTGTTGCAGATTCCGCTTGTGTACTCTGAAGTCTGTTTCTTTGTGGCTTAATTGTTTCTTTGTTCCAACTTAGTTTCCTTTGTTCTCTTCCAACTACTGTGCTTTTATTTTTAGTTAATGTTGGTTTGTAAAGTAGTTGTTATTGCATTTATAATTATAGATAACTGTAAGACACATGAAAATTGAAAATTTCTCGCTTTCCCCAGTTAAACATGTCAAGAAAGATGAACGCAAATATTACGAGGAGCTGCTAAAGTACAGTCGTGATCATCTCATGCTGTACCCTTACCATCTGTCAGATATAATGGTAAAGGGCCTGAGGATAACACCGTTTTCATACTATACTGGGATCATGGAGGTGAGTTCACGGTGTACGTGGGGCATTAGGAATGGGACGGGACTCTGTGTCGTCAACAGCGATGCCAGTAGTGACTGGCTGTGCCCTTCTCAGCCCTAGTGGGCATTGTTTCTGAGTTTACAGTGGAAAAAAAAGAGAGTTGGTTACGAGTTAACTGTGTCATCCACACTGTACAAGGAGTTGTCGTCCAGGCTCTCATAGTGGAAAGGTACCTGTGTTTGTGCCGTGTTTTTGAGGGCATTGTTGACCCTCTGTGCTGTTGTAGCATTAGTCATTCATTTATGTTAGCAGAGTCTCTATAAAACCGACTGCTTTGAACACGTGATTAAGGTTGAAAATGTGGGTGACAGAACTGAGCATTGAGTTCAGAGAAACTTAATGCGTTTAACGATTCTCTGACTAGAGAAAGAATAAGTGATTATAAACCCAACATGCAATACACATGTTAGAAAAAGAAAGGTATTTGTAGTTCTGGCTGCTAATGTCTTGCCATTTTTATTAATTTTTGGATGTTAGCTTTTTTCCAAAGTCAGCATTTAGACCTTTGTCAAGGAACTTTAAATATACTGTTTTTAAGTGAGCTGTGTGTAAAGATTGGCAATGTTTGTCTAGTATTCAGTGGCTACTTAATTTTATCTGAGTGCCACTGTTTTGGGCCCACTAGCCGCCTCCAGAGCAGGGGGAGGCCTTGAACTGAAGGAGCTGGGAACGTGCAGGGACAGTGAGGTCACGTTCCGATGTGGCTTCCTCTGCGAGAGCTCCCTTTGCTTTTCTCCCTGAGCCCCTTCTTCACAAGCACTTAGGCCGTCCTGCGTCTCCCATGTCTCTGTGTCCCTGTTTGGGAGGAAATATTAGTGTAAAGCTTGAGGCCTGACAGCCCCAGTTTCTGTCGATCCCCTTTCCTGAGAGCCAGGGCAGCAGAATGAAGGTGGCAGGTAATCAGTACGTAGAATAATTTGGACTGCCTCTGTTTGCTGGCACTGACCATGAGGTTCAGGAGAGATAATAGGGGGAGGGTTTTTTCTCCCCTTTACCAACTTTCAGTTGTGTCCAGGCACTCGCTGCTCTCTGCTTTCTGTTCTTACACCATTGGGTGTAGGTCCTAGGTTGAAAATGGGCCCTATCCCCACGGTAGACAGTTGGTTTATTATTGGAGTAACAGATGGGCATTGGAAGAAGCTGGATGCTGAGGTTAACTGTGCTGCTGGTTGGGTTTCGTAGGAGCAAAGATGACTGAGCGGTCACAGTCTTTGTTGGTGGTGCGCGTCTCAGATGTGTGTTGATGGAAGCGTGACACATCAGGGGCCCTCTCTTGGGGCACGAATCTGGGATGTGGTGTGAGGCATGGAGAGGCAGGAACCGGGAGCTCTGAAAGCGGTGTTCTCTGCGTAGCTTCCACAGAGCGCAAGTTGCAGGGCAGATGTTTGGGATTCAGGAGCGCTGTGGGAAACCAAGACCGGAAGGGCTGATCTTCGGTGACTCGGTTGGGCCCAGGTGGCCAGTAGCACAGGGCTGCCTGCATGCTTTAGGTCGCACACTCTCATCTCAGTGCTTCGGGCAACAATTCTGATTATCCTGTTTGGCTCTCTTAATATGTATTTATTCACATTTTTTATCTAAGGATATTTTGCGTTTAGAATTTTTAATTGTTTTCTTTTTGAAAGGACATTATGAACAGTGAGAAGAGTTATGATTCATTGCCCAATTTTACTGCCGCTGACTGTAAGTATGAAATGACCTGAAGGTAACGATTAGTCTGTCGTTGTGCATGCATGCTGTTGTGTGTGTCGTCATGTGTGTTTTTAACCTGAAACATCTGAAGCATGGAAACAGCAAGCAACAGTGTTGGTAGGAATTTTTATCAGGTGAGGCAAGTCAAGTATAAGGTTTAGTCTAAATGTCTAAGGGAGAAATATGTTAGAGGGTAAAATGAGAAGTCTGTATTTCTAGAAAATGAATTCTTTCTGATACTTGGGCTGTGTTGTGTTCCACATGAGGGAAGAAAATTTAAAATTTGTACACGATAGTTTCACAGCATGATACCTAGTTGTTACTAATATAATTTGCTTTATTATGCTTATTTTAAGGAAGTATATATTTGACATGTGACACCGTTCTCTTGTGTAAGGAGAAACTTTTGCTGAGAAGTACACTTTGACTTCCTGATATTGGAAGGGTTTCTGCTTTTTAAAGATTTTCCATGTGACATTGTCAGAGGTGTCAGCTCGAGTTCATCTTTCCCAGTTTGGTTTTCTTTTGTATTTTGTTTGAAGAATTTATTTTAATTTGATGTTGATTGTTAGTCATCAGAGATGAACAAAAGCTAAGGGTTTTTTCCTAGAAGACCTGGGTGTACTGATATTTTAAGATACATTAAGTGTTTTTAAAATAAAGGCTCTTAATTTCAGGTCTAAGGCTTCTTGGCATAGGAAGAAATCAGTACATTGATCTGATGAATCAGTGTCGGTCGTCAAAAGTAAGTTAGTTGTTTCCTTCCCTTTCTTTTTTCATCCCTGTTATCACACATTCTGGTTGTTTTAAGTAGTAGAAATACTGAATTGAAATTTCTTTGATCAAGAAAATATGCTTCATATAAAATACCAAAACAACTCCTCCATATTTTCTAGGTTATGCTTATGCGATTATTGAATTAAAATGTTTAAGGAATAAAATATTTATTTTTAAAATTTAATTTTTGCTCTGCTGGTCTTTTTACTTGCTCATTCCTCTCCCAGCATGATGGGTGAAGTAAGGACACGTTCTCCAAATTCATTTTTACCTCCTGGTAAAAAACTCCTTTGAGTTTCTGGATTTAGATCCAGACTTGGTGATTAGTGTTTTGAAGTAATTCAGTTTGAAATAATTGAAGAATGACTTTCTCTTTAGTATATTTCTCTCCAGTATATCTAAAATTCTTCAGATTTTAAAGCAGGAGGGTTTAAAAAGATTTGTTTGTTAGACTGTGAGAAACAGTCTTATACTATGATCAGTAAAAAAAGAAAGTATGGATTTCAGGCTGATTGCAAATTCTCATGTTTGTACCATTGAAGAAATTTTTCAGAAGGAAAACGGCTCGTGATCTTCTACCAGTGAAGCCGGTGGAGATCGCCATAGAGGCGTGGTGGGTGGTGCAGGCCGGATATATCACAGAAGATGACATAAAGGTAGATCCCTTTGGAATTAAACGTTGGATTTTTATTTTTTAAATTATAACTTTTAATCATAGCTCTAATTTTTCTAAAAAGTAACACTATTTGGTTTTCCTGAAGAAAATTAAGTGTAAGTTCAAAGTTGTAAATGACGGTGGTAGGCTGGAATACTGGTGGTTTTCAAAGACACTCTTTAGTAATGAGTCGGGTGCACCTGGGTGGCTCCATCGGTTAAGCGTCCAGCTCTTGATTTCTGCTCAGGTCGTGATCTCAGGGTCGTGCAGTCGAGCCCCACATCAGGCTCCACGCTCCGCATAGAGCCTGCTTGAGATCCTTTCTCCCTCTGCCCCCTCCCTGCTTACATGTGCGTGCATGCATGTTCTCTCTCTCTCAAGTCAGTACATTTTTAAAAATCCAATAATGAGGGAGACTTGACTTGGTTCGTGTTCAGCAATCTGGGGACTCGGATTAGACAGAAGCTTCATCCCAAGTGACGTGATGCTGCAGCCGCCACGATAGCGGCCGGCGCTTCCCGAGCACTTGCTGTGCGCTAGAGGCGCGGGGCTCTGTTCCCAGCACCTTTTGTATTGTCTCAGATGCTCTTAACAGCCCGCCGGGTGGGTCTTCCTTGTACGCCATTTCATGTATGAGGAAAGTGAGCACAGAGACATGAAGTAATGGTTCAAGTCACCGTGGGGGTGAAGGTGCAGGATTTTACCTCAGCCACTTTGCTGTGGGAGTGGTGCTCCACGTGGCTCTGCTGAAGTGTCCTCCGGAAGAGGGAGGTGCTTTGATGGGGGGGCGGGGAGGGCCTGGATCAAGGGCAGTGATGTTCCCAGGGTCAGACCACGTTGCAGATGAGCCTGTGCCTGGTAGAAGAAATGCTGATTTGGAGGAAAAGGGGCAGGGCCACAGACCAGAGGGCCTAGAGACCAGGTCACGCCTCTCTGTGGTGGAAGGAATAAAAGTGAGTGTGGGTTTTTTTTTTTTTTAGTTTGCATTTTATTTTACTTCAGAAGATGGATTAAATCTCATGAGCGGATCAGTGTAGGAACTTCCTAACAGCTGTCAGACTGTCATAAGATAGTGAACTTCTTGTCACTGATAAATGCATGTGGAGTCTGAATAAACTTCCTATCTGAGCAGTTCAGAGTCAGCAAATGGATCCAAATCCCATTCAGAGATGATGATTAAATATTGGTATTTGTTAGGTAACACTTAATACTTAACAGCAAATATTGGTACTTACAATTACTTGGTCCTCCATTCTGTTGGTAGCATATTACGGCGCCTTAATTGACGGTTATGTACATAGCTTTTTCCTTTGAATCTAGAGTGATAAAAGAAAAAGTATGTGGTACATTTAGCTAATGACACATAATAATCATAATCACGTATAATACATAAAATGTAATAATATATAATCATATATAATATAATAATCATCATCGTAATAATCATTTGATTTAAACATGATTTCAGGAGACTTCCAAATTACTTTGGATCGAACTTAATTGAAAATATTTTGCTCTTCTTATAGATATGCACATTGTCTGAGAAGTGCGCTATTGATAAGATCATCGACGCAGGCCCTCAGCTCTCTGGATCGCTTGATTACAATGTAGTACATAGTAAGTGGTTAGTAGAAGCGGTCTTTTGTCAACATAAAAACTTGTTCTAAACCATCAATAATTAATAGAAATTTTTATCAGTTAGATACACATGGTACTATTTACTAAGGCATGTTGTTGTTTGAGCTGTGACTTTGGTCCATTGTTTCCCTGTGTGGCTTTCATTCAGTTATTCACATACACTAGAAATTTATACAGATGAGTTATAAGGATATTTCTGTAGTTCTGAGCATATGAAGAAAACAGATTTGAAAACTTCAGTTCTTTTCCTCTTCTGTTTACTTTTTTTTCTCCTTCATCTAGCATTCAGTTGTAAGGATCTTTATAGAAAATCAGGAATCTGTTTTGTTTTGTTTTAAATTTATTGTAGTTTAGTGTTCCACCTAAAACAAATACTTTTGCTTCCGTAGGCTTATATAACAAAGGATTTATATATCTGGATGTCCCAATATCTGATGACAGTTGTATAGCAGGTAAGTATGTGCTTGTGTTTTCCGCTATTTTTCAGTGGTTACTAGGTCCTGGGCATTGCGTACATCACATCTATCACCCTAACAGATTAGACACATACCGTTCTGAGATCTGCAATAATAGAATTTCTCAGAGGACAGCATTTCTCCTTTGTTACATGGTAACACATTGCAGTGTGTTTTACTTAAATTCCTTATTTTTATCTTCACATTGTTGTACATGTAATGTTAAAATAATGGAAATCTGAAATAAATTTCTCACATCCCAAATCAACTCAATGATTTTACAGATTTATGTCCTTTTAGTCTTTGTTCAGTGCATAACTGGTTTTATAGATGTTCAGTCCTGTCATCTGATAGTTTTACTCTGTGTGCCTGTCTTATTTTTTTGTGTCACTATTGTCTTTCTCGTCTTTATCTACTCCTCCCTTTCTCCTTCACCCATTCCCCAGTTAAACCGCTATTAAAGCCCTTGTGTATTTTCTGGTGGATGTATCAGTGTATTAACCTGTTGCTGGTTATTGAGGTTACTTACACTTTTCTTGCTATGGTAGTGATGTGGTTAACATCCTTGAACACAGTGGAGCTTTTCTCCTCTAGGTTAGATTTCTTACACTGTATTTAGGTCATATGTTAAGGTATGTTTTCCAGCACATCTTTCAGCTGTTGTTCTGGTTTGTTGGTATCTTTCCTCATACTAAGATATTTAATGTTTGTGTAATCAAATATAAAATGTCAAAAATGGCCAGGGAATGATTTTGCTGCTAACTATTGAGCAACGATAGGGGCTTATGACAAGAATACTCCCTCCTATCTGTGTTGAATCCGGACAGGTTATCATGCTGTCGTGTGTCCCGACCTTTATTTGTGTTCGCATGCGCCAGTGGTTCTTTAAGAGTGGATTTTGAACCATGTGCAAATGTGAATTCTATTTTCAGTTTGGAAGGACAGCCAAAAAGCAATGAAATACTAATTCTGCTTTGTAGAATTGCTGCTATAACAAATAAAGTACTAGTTTTACAGTTCGAAAGGTTTTGACAAGGAAATGATTTCTGGAGGACGGGGCTGATAGTGGTTTCCTGTCACTGTGAGAAAATAGGAATGCATTATGCGTTATTCTAGTCTTTACTCTCATCAGTAAACTAATGTTGACTCATTTGAGAATCTCCTAAAAAGATTGGTTTTTGATTAGTTCATTTCAGTCCCTGTTGACTGTTTGAACACTGACTCACATTATCACTAAGTGCATCTGCAAGGTGTGGTCTGAGAAGGGCCAAGTGGATGGCTGCGCCGTTGCAGAGATGTGTTCTGCCAGGCTTTTCTTAGGATCTAGCAAGTTCTGGTGGTACAGACAGACTCATGCTCTTACAAGTGCTGAATATATCCTCCTTGTCGCCATGGAACATGGGATGTTCCCTAATTTGGAATAACCTGTGAAAGGAAAGCAGTTTGACAAGATGGAGGCCATCGAATTTAGCACGAGACACCGAAGTTGATTTCAGAGAAAGCATTTCATCTCTGTTTCAACAAAACAAGCAGTATGATGGTGGAACAAATAAACTGGATAAATAAAGAGAATAGTCACGAAGGGGTTTGTTGTTAAGACGTATTTAGTCCATCGTCAGACCTTATACTTGCTTGGTTTATGGCTCCCCTTTCATTTACAGCTTTCTAGATTTCTGTTAAGCTTGAATAGAATACTTCTAAGATACATATAGAAATAGTCTAAAAATTCTTAAAAACCTTTGTCATATAAATCCAAACCTGTAGCTGGAACTTTTTTTTTTTTTTCCAAAGATTTTATTTATTTATTTGACAGAGATCACAAGTAGGCAGAGAGAGAGGGGGAAGCAGGCTTCTTGCTGAGCAGAGAGCCCGATATGGGGCTCGATCCCCGGACGTTGGGATCATGACCTGAGCCGAAGGCAGAGGTTTAACTCACTGAGCCACCCAGGCACCCCTGGAACTTATTTTTGTATTTTATGTGAAATAAGGGCCCAAGTTGGTTTTCTTCTTTTTGGAAAACCAGTAACATTTGGATAAATGCTAGGACGGTTTTTTCAATAAGCCATGACCACCGAATGGAAGCGTAACTTTTGTCATACATTGAATTCCCCTCTGCATTGGATCTAATTCTGATATCCTTTTTTCTTCACTTATTTATTTTTATTTTTATACTGTATTGTTTCACTACAGTGACTTAAAGTAACCTTTAACATTAGTTATGGCTGGGCCTTCCTTGTGAGTTTTGTTTTATTTTGTTTTTTTTAATAACTTTTTTTCTTGGCTATTTCCAGGCATTTTTTTCTTTATATTTATTTATTTTTATTAACGTGTTTAAAATTTTTATTTTGTTATTTTTTATTGAGTTAAAATTGACATCCACCATGTTAGTTTCAGGTTTAAACTGTAGTGTTGATGATTTTGTATGTTTTGGGAATTGAGCACCACAAGTCTAGTTAATAACATCCATCACCACACAGAATTACCAGAAAATTTTTCTCTTGTGATGAGAACTTTTAAGAGCTACTCTTTTTTTTAAAGATTTTATTTATTTATTTGACAGAGATCACAAGTAGGCAGAGAGGCAGGCGGGGGCGGGGGAGCAGGCTCCCCGCTGAGCAGAGAGCCCGATGCAGGACTCGATCCCAGGACCCTGGGATCATGACCTGAGCCGAAGGCAGAGGCTTTAACCCACTGAGCCACCCAGGTGCCCCTACTTTTTTTTTTTTTTTTAAAGGTTTTATTTATTTATTTGACAGAGAGAGAGAGAGAGATCATAAGTAGGCAGATAGGCAGAAAGAGGGGGAAGCAGGCTCCCTGCTGAGCAGAGAGCCTGATGCGGGGCTGGATCCCAGGACCCTGGGATCATGACCTGAGCCGAAGGCAGAGGCTTTAACCCACTGAGCCACCCAGGCGCCCCTGGTCTCCTGCTTTTCTGCTTTAGCCCAGTCACCCCTGCTATCTGTAAGGCATTAAAACACACCCATTGAAGCCTTCCCCATTCCGAAGCAGCCCCAGTCCCCTTGCCTTTCTACCCAGTTCATGTCCTCCAGCACTTCCTCTGCCTCAGTAATGCTGACAGTTCCCTGGGGTTACTCTTTGTAGGATTTGTGCTCTACTATCAGAGTCCTCTGTGTAGATGGGGTTGTAGATGGCCTTAACTTTGGGGGTTTTAGAAAACTTGCTGTGGAGTAGATAAAATAAATCAAAAACTGAATTTAGTCCCTAAGGTAGAGGTTTCCCTTTTTGAATGGGTATTTGCATATGCTTTCTTGTTTTATAAAATTGAATCACTGATAAAAGTCTATTTTGTTTTAGTTCCTCCTCTTGAAGGTTTTGTAATGAATCGGGTACAAGGGGATTATTTTGAAACTCTACTCTATAAGATATTTGTTTCCATAGATGAGCATACTAATGTTGCAGAGGTAAGTATGACAATGTCTTATGAACGAACTTAACCTCAAGATTATAAAAAACATTTGTGTAAAGTAGATAAAGTTATTTAATGATAAGGTTAAAATGTTTTCAGAGTCAATATGCATGGGTAGGTCATAGACCATTAATATACTTAAGTTACAATTCTTAAGTTACCTTCTGTATAATAATATAATTTGGTAAATAACTTATTTCTTGGTAAAAGGATTGCAGACTATTGATTGATATAAGCATTTTCTTATTTTAAAAGAGACTAAAGAGGAAAGAACCTTCCATCGTTATGGTCACTATCTGGATTCATGCTACTTAGACATAAGGAAAGAAGAAAGTTCTGATTTCAGAATTAATATATTGAGTCTTTTAATTATTCATAATTTAAAATTTTGCTGATTATGGTTCACTTGTTTATTACAACTGTGTAATATTGATAATTCTAGGAGTGTAAATAATTTTTTGTTTTTATTTTCCAGCTTGCAAATGTCCTTGAAATAGACTTATCCTTGGTTAAGGTATATAATTTTTATACTCTTTTTATTTATAAATACTGAATGGCTTTTATTAGAAACTTTTGTCTTGATTAGCTACTGAGAAATAGACACAGTGAGATTCTTATTGGCTGTGCAGGGGAGTGAGGACAGTAAAGGGGGTACCTGCAAAGATGGAAAAAACCAAGGTAAGGGCGCTGAAGCAGTATTCCACGCTGGGGAGTGAAAGCCTGTACTCATGCTCCTGCGCGTGCAAGAGGCTGCCCGATCAGTGTCTTGTGACGAGGTCACTGAAAGCACCATCTTCTTCTGCTGCGTCCTAAAGAGCGCCAGGCCAGAGAATTGGAAGTACTCTCTCTTCCACATCTGTGAACAACTTAGGGGAGGAACAGGCCTACTGAAAATGTTTTTTCTGGTGGCATAAAAGTGTTTGGGGATCACTGTGTCAGAGTCAATGACAATACTTTATCTCTACAAATAGTCTGATGTCTGGTTTATTTTAAATGCTAACTTCTTTATATTTTTTCAGAATGCGGTTTCAATGTATTGCCGATTGGGCTTTGCCCATAAGAAGGGACAAGTAATAAATTTGGATCAGCTTCATTCATCGTGGAGGAATGTTCCATCTGTAAACCGATTAAAGTAATTCATTTATTCAGTCTGAGATATTAGAGTTTCCTTTTGAAAAAAACATTGCTCTATGTACAGAAATTTTACTATTGAGGTGAACACTGCCTGTTAGTGGTTTTTAATCTTTTGTGCGATGAATGGTGTTTAGAATCTGATGAGAACAAGAACACTTTCCCCAGAGAAAAGTACATATGGTATTTTACAAACAGCTGTGAAGAGTTCTCACATTCCCTGGAGCCTGCCCATGGGTCTTGGTTAAGAACCATTGCTGTATGTGGGCAGAGCATTTTGGGGCTACGTCTCCATTTGGGGCTTGAACATAAGACGGGACTGGGTGGGTATTCATAATTTGAGTGCTGACTTCAGTATCTGTTTTTATATAAGCTAAGATGTACATGATTTGTAAAACGTGGCTGGATTCTTCATTCATAGGAGTACCTTAGACCCACAGAAGATGCTGCTGTCGTGGGATGGTGGGGAAAGCAGGAGTCCCGCGCAGGAAGTCTCATCAGCCACTGACACGGACACCAATAGTCAAGAAGATCCGGGTTAGCAGTCCCTCAGGGTATAGAGACGCCAGGCGTCTATGCCGACATTCACAGAGCGAACTAGGCTTTGTTCTTGATACCATTCATTTGATGTGCAGTCTTCGAGTCCTTAGCAGTATGCTGGGCATTGACTATGGTACCTTGCTTCTGAGAATAAGTCTAGGGAGAGAGAAGGCAGTGTAATCACAAAAACCACAACAGTGTGAGAAGTGTTTTGGTGCTTGTGGGGAGCAAAGAGAAAGAGCTTTCTTGTCTAGAGATTTAGGAAGCCTTCATGGAGGAGATAATAACTGGGCTAAGAACGAATAAGAGCTTGCCAGCTGGTGAGTGAGGGAAGGTCTCAGCATGGGCTAAGCACAAAGGGAGGCAAAGAAAGCATAGTGCGTGAGGGGCTGCGCGTGGTTTTATGTTGGGGCATGGGGAGAGGAGCACAGCATAGCTCTGTTCTTACCCTAGGCTCTTAACCGAGCCAGGTGACTTGTCTGAAGAGGTCAGGCTAGCTAGTCTTAAGTGTTCTGACAGTTATCAAGTCTTGGTTTATTACTGGTTTTCAAGAAACACCACGAAAGTGAGTACTTAAAAGTTTTTTTTTTTTTTTTTTTTTTTAAACATTCTCTGGTTGGAGATGGATAGGATTGGGCCACTTAGGACTGACTACAAAATTACTTATAGTTAGTTACATACTTTTGAATTTTTAAATCAAGTTGAATTGCAGTTCTTTCTCATTCCAAATGGTAGGCAAATAATAATTCTAAATCACTCGATTTTAAATCATGATTTTTTTTTTTGTTGTTCCAGCGGATACAGCCAGTGTAAGCAGTTTGAGTTTATCTACAGGATATACAAAGCGCATTGCTTTTCTGTTTGACTCAACTCTTACTGCCTTTTTAATGATGGGAAATCTTTCACCGGTAAGTCCAGTTCTTGTTTAAATGTGACAGTGTTTAAAGATTAGATGTAAAATAGTTCATGCTTTGAAATCTTTTTTTGAAGTACTGGATTTATTCCTGAAAACACAAAATGCCAATCGTCTTGTTTTATATTCCCTGGAGGAGCGTCGTAACTTTTTAGTGATGGTTAGCCTCGCACTTCATCACCTTTGGTTATATTGGAAAGCATAATAGAAATACGAGATGTTCTGTTTCATTTTAAAAAAAGAAAATTAGAACTTATTCATAATAGACTTGTATAAGGTTTTAAGATCCATTTTAGTTTTTTTATTTTTGTTTCTCTATGCCAGAACTTGAAAAGCCATGCGGTCACCATGTTCGAAGTTGGTAAACTCTCAGATGAGTCTCTGGACAGCTTTCTTATAGAACTAGAAAAGGTAAGTCTGGATTGCTCATTATGGGATCTCAGGACGTTTGGCGCTTTTCCTTGCTTGATACCGATTGTGTTGATTTTTGGTGTCTGCCTCATTCCCCACCTTTACTGTAACAGTCATTTACACTTAAAAATACTGAGTGGATGAATGGATTTTTGTGATTTTCAAAATGGTTTTTGGACCTTACCTCTCACTTAGCATGATTTGGTTTTATGAAATGTGGTATAGGGGAGACCCTGGGCGGCTCAGTCAGTTAAGCATCTGCCTTTGGTTCAGGTCATAATCCTGGGGACCTGGGATTGAGCCCCGCATCGGGCTCCTTGCTTTCTGCCTCTGCCTGCCACCCCGCAACTTGTGCTCTCTCTCGCTAGCTGTATGTCAAATAAAATCTTAAAAAAAAAAAAAAATGAAATGGGGTATAGAAATAGTCAATATAAATTTGTTTTTTTTTTTTAAAGATTTTATTAATCCATTTGACAGAGATCACAAATAGGCAGAGAGGCAGGCAGAGAGAGGGGGGAAGCAGGCTCCCTGCTGAGCAGAGAGCTCGATGCGGGGCTCGATCCCAGAACCCTGAGATCATGACCTGAGCTGAAGGCAGAGGCTTAACCCACTGAGCCACCCAGGCGCCCCTCAATGTAAGTTTTTAAATTACATTTTTCTAAAATAGCCTTTGTTTTTGTTATTGGTTTTTTTTTTTCCCTTTGATATGACTGTTTAAGATCTCCTCTTCAGCAGTTTTATTTAAAGTTTTTGTTCCCCTTGTTTTAAATCTGGAGCAGCATCCACGGGTACCATATTTATGTCCACTCTCACTAGCCCCGTTAGCATCTTGAAGACTCCAGCCATAGCTGCTCTTAGGCACCTCTTCCCCTACATGAAAATAGCCCGATTTGTCCTTAGCTCTAAATCTCGATTGCCCTTTCACGGTTTTTCCATTCCCTGGGCTTTTTATTTTTGTTTTTTTTTTGTTTGTTTTTTTGTTATCTGTTTATGCTAATAGTTTGTGTGCTGAGTCTCCTCCTTGACTAGTAATTTTGGTACCTTTTGTGCTTCAGTGATGAACTCTGTATATTAAATGTTTTACTTAGAGGATTTTTGATGATTCCATTAGTTTCTTTATATTTAAAAAAAAAAATGACATTTTTTTCACTCTTCCTTCTCCATAGGATTTTTAACTTGATGGTGCAGAATTATATTTGAGATAATCCTTTGCAATTAATTGGTCTTTCATTTTTACCTTTATACTTCCATTATTCCCTCAATGCTTTTAGTATCCTGTTAATCCCATTTCTAATGTATGTGTATCATTTTTTGCCAATAAATTTTTTATTTTCTAAGATACTTTTTTTTAAAAGATTTTATTTATTTGACAGAGAGAGATAACAAGTAGGCAGAGCAGCAGGCAGAGAGAGAGGGGGAAGCAGGCTCCCTGCTGAGCAGAGCAGGTCTGGATCCCAGGACCCTGAGATCATGACCCGAGCCGAAGGCAGGGGCTCAACCCACTGAGCCACCCAGGCGCCCCTGTTTTCTAAGATATTTTAACTTCTCTTTTCCTGATTTTTTTCTCACCTCAACTAGTGTTTTAGCACGTGTAACAATTAGAAGATCACTTTATTTTTATATATCTATTTCATTTTATGCCACCTAGCCATTCTTGGGAAGGCCTTTTAGTCTGAAGTTTAGTCATTAAAAATAGTTTCTTAAAAAAAAAGTTTCTTAGCTATTTTTTAAGAAGCCTCGTCCTAATTAAGCTTAGTTGGTTAATTTTTTTTTAAGATTTTATTTATTTGAGATTGAGTGAGTGAGAGAGAGAGAGAGAGTGAGTGAGAGAGAGAGAGAGAGAGAACATGAACAGGGGGAGGGGCAGAGGGAGAGGGAGAAGCAGGCTTCCCTCAAAGCAGGGAGCCTGACTCAGGACTCGATCCCAGAACCCTGGGGTCATGACCTGAGCCGAAGGCCAACACCTAACTGAGCCACCCAGGTGCCCCGGTTGATCTTATTTTTAAATGCCAATCTAATTTAGTCATTCCTCTTGTAGACCTGTCCTTTCATTTCCTGTGTTGTTTCTGGGATGTGTGTATTTTTACATGTTAAAGAAGCACCTGACTCAGTGTCAGAAGAGCATGCGTTAAAACGTAAGGCCAGTGAGCACAGGGGTTTTGTCCGCTATTCTGTCCCTACGTCCTAGACGGATCATACCTAGCACATCACAGGGACTTGGTGAATCCTTTTCGAATGAATTTAAGCTGTATACTCAGTAGTGTGGAAACCGTGATGTTGAATCTCATACTCCATTGTCCCTTGCAGCCAGTGATGCAGAACGGGGGGCATAGTGACAAGAATTAGAAGCATAATTGGTGACCATGGGTTGGAATACTTTTCTGGATGAAGCAGAAAATAGATCTTAGCTTTTTTTCTTTTTTTGTTTTAAGCACCCTATTTGAATCCTATGTGGGAGATAAAACATATATAATAGAATAATTTAGCATTAATTGGTTGCTTCAAATTGTTAGTTTTACTTGCTAGGATAATTTCTGTCATCTTCAAAGATATATTCAAATGGAAACTCAGCCGAGATTTAGGTTAAGATTTGTCTCAGTATTGCCTGGGCTAATTTTGGTTTACTGAGTCTTAGTAGTGTTTTAATGTCTGTACTATATGGTTATTGTATATTAGGATGAATGGTTTGAGAGTGATACTGCAAAATTTATTTTCTCGGTTTAGGTTCAGAGCACTGGTGAAGGAGAAGCACAGAGATACTTCGATCATGCACTCACTCTGAGAAACACAATATTGTTTCTGCGTCATAATAAAGACCTAGTTGCGCAAACTGCACAGCCAGACCAACCGAATTATGGTATGATAAATGTACTTGATTTTGAAGACATGACCCCATGGAACTTCTTTCTAAGAAATTAAACAGGTCATGCTTACTTATTTAATCATCGCTTAATGCATTTAGTGTAGACGGCATGTTGAATTTGCAACCAGAGGCTTGTTTTGTGACTTCCTTTGCTTGTCAGCTCTTTCTTATTTTACCTTTTCTCCTTTCTCCTGTGCCACTGACATTTGTAGTTATCTCAGTGTGCTTAGAACCTACAAAAACGGTTGGAGCGTTAACTTGTTTAAGTGGCTGGATGGCATGTAGAACAGGCCTCGGGTTGAGGGGTGAACAAAGCCAAAATGTAGTGATTTAGGAAGCCTACTATTTCTTGAAGGAAAGATCCCATTGTAGGAAAGGAATAAGCAGGAGTTTCCGATTGAAGTGCTGTTGTAATACTTACTGAAGTATTTTACTTAAAAAATTAAAAAAGAGAACAGAAAACCTTGTTAAAGAGTAAAAGAAAGAAGGCAGTGGCAGTTCTAATCTGTGATGAACCCTGACGTGGCTCTTGCCCTGGTCTGTACTCTTGGGTGTGGGATAGGTGGCGGCGGGGGGGTTCCCAGACTGTGGTTGAACGGATAATAGGTCCTAAGGAGGGCATTGCCACCCATGAATGCATGTTTTTAAAAAGATGGCACGGCTTGGGCGCCAGGGAAGAGCATTCGGATACCGTCCTCGCTCATTCACAGGAGCTGCGTCTCAGAACTCCGTGAATTCTTAGCTCGTTTCTTTCATTTACTTAAAATTTAAGTTCTGTTTTTCTGGCCGGGAACCAGTGGTTTCTGAGTCATACCCAGTTACATTCTACTTCTTTCAACAGCACCTGACTTTCTTTTCAGCTCAATTTGAGCATTTAAGAACAGAATCAGTTGTCACTTTACAAAAGTGGTCATGGAGATGAGGACAGAGATGCTGGGTAGTTGAGCCGAGTGAAGCCGGACACACTCAGATCCTGGTGACTGGCTTCTGCAGCTGTAGTATATCAGGCTCAGAGTTCTGCTTTAGCACAATTAGGACTGATTTCATGCTGGGGTTCTTTCTGAGATTGTTCATAAATAGTTGCGACTGGATATTAAGTCACCAAGTGCCAAGAGGCCAAAGCACTTATTCATAGGCATTCATTAATGGTAACCATTTTTTGGCTGCCAGGTAGATCATGTGACCTAAGCAACGAGCAGCACACTCTTGAAGATGTCTTTGTATGTAAAAATCCTGAAATTACTAGGACTTTTTAGGGACTTAGGGAGGTGATGGATTAGAATATTTGAAATACTCTGTCATAGCCATCTTGAAATATACCATCCTTTCCTGTGCATCATAGTGTCCAGGAATGTTAGTGCTGGTGACCAGTCAAATGTAATTCGTTTTATAGGTAGATAAATTAGCTTGTTTTGGTCAAATCTTCTGCCCATTTGTCCTGTATGGATTAGTCGGTGGAAGACATGGGACTTAAGTCCATGTTTCTTCAAAAAAAATTTTTTTTGCTCTATCCCGTTTATTACCTTCTCTTGAACGTTAAACTATTTGTTGATTTATTCCTAAACAATTTGTTGCTTAGTAGTCTGGACTAAACTTTGTTTTTCACCATGAATGGTCTGTGTACCAGAAAGTTAAATTGAATAAAAAACCTAAACCTTATCTGTATGAAAGTAGTTAAATATTATTGTAACTCGTGAGGTTGGTTTGATAGTGGACTGTTTTTGGTACTAGGTAGAGCTTTCATTGTTTAGTCTTTCCTCACTAAGATTTTTTTTCTGACATTTTTTCACTCATAACTGATTTATCAGTTTTATTAAATTTGTTCTTGATTTCTTGTATGTAGTCAAGCATAATTTCTTTAGTCTTTTTTTTTTTTAAGGTTTTATTTATTTATTTGAGAAAGAGAGAAAGAGCAAGAGCCAAGTGGGAGGAGGGGCAGAGGGAGAAGCAGAGTCCCCACTAAGCAGAGAGCCCGATGTGGGGCTTGAGCCCAGGACTCTGGCATCATGACCTGAGCCGAAGGCAGGCGCTTAACCATCTGAGCTGCCCAGGGGCCCTTTCTCTAGTCTTTATAGAACTTTGCCCCTTCTCTCCTTTTCCTAAGCCACCTGCTTAGCTCTCGTTTTCCTTTAAAATGAACCTCCCATCTGGCTCCAGCCAGATCTGTCTTCTCCCCCTCACTCTCCCACCTTGTTTGCTGGCTGTGTGCAACAGATGCTCTTCCTGATGTCTATGACTTGCTCTCCTCCATTAGCAACATTTTATTTGAAAATACCACAAATTTACAAAAAAGTTTTAAGAATTTAAGAATAGTATAATTACTTCGAACCCAGAATTTGGGAGTAAGTTGCGTACCGTGATCTTTGTCCACAAAATTATTCGGGGGGCGTTTCTTAAGAATAGGGCTAGTCCCTGACATCATCTTCAGAAGGTTAATTGCTACAGTACCTGCCATTCATATTCCAGTTTATCAGTTGACCCAGTAATGTCCTTAATAACATTTTTCCCCCTCAAATGCAGGATCTAGTTTAAGATTCAATACTACATTAAATTGTCATGTCTCCTTTATCTCCTTTATTCTGGAACAAGTCTGTAACCTTTTTTTGTCCTTTACGAAATTCTTATTTTTTTAAGAATATAGTCTCTTTTTGTTAGTTTTACTAGAAAGTTCCTCACGTTGGGTGTGTGGGATGTTTCGTTGTGATTAGGTTCAGGTCACGCACTCAAGTCCAGAGTATTACCTAAGTAACGTCATGTTCTTCTAAGGGTATGACATTCGGAGGCATGGGATTCCCATCCGCTCCCGTTGTGATACTAGTTTTGTTTTTGTGTTTTTGATTATTCTACTACGTAGTTAAGTATTCTCCCCTCGTGCAGCGACTCAGTAGTCTGTGGACAGGTACTCTGAGACCGTGTACATCACCTGCTGCTCGTCAGTACCTCCCCCCGGAGGGAGCGACCAGTGTTGTTCCTGCCTGAACCATTTTTGTCTGTGATGGTTGTAAATTGATAATTTTTTTTCCAATTCCAGTTCTTCCGGTAACAGTTGGGACCGAGCATTTTTTTATATTCTCAGTATGGATTGATGAATTCCTGTTTTTTTCAATGGCTTATAATTAGTCACTGTTCTCTCTCAATTACTTGTGTGCTATGGTTGTCTCCAGTTTTGCCAGTAGGATTCCTTTCAAGCTGCCTCCAGTTTCCTTGTGCCATGCCTCCATCTTTTAAAAGAATTCTTACATTTGGGGCAGTTCTTTACTTTCTGGCAAAACAGTCTTCTCTTGTACTTCTGTCCCAGTCTTGGAATCAACCTTTTCTCCCAGGAGCCAGGTTTCTTTTATTAGAACATGGTATTCAAGAGTGAAGTCCTGGTACTAGTTGTGCCAAGTGCTTCTGGGCCCTTCCAGCAGGCCATATGTTTTTTGGTTCATTCTTGCTTGAGGGGGAGATGAGCTAACTTTGTCTCCTGGCGTTTCTTTCAGCCTTATCTATCTTTTTAAGAGAATGAATAGGACTGGAATTTTCTGAAAGAGTTCTAGAATGGGAACACTGAAAATCTGTTACATGCCGAGGGACTTCTTGCTTTATGGACCAGCAGTCTTGGGCCCGTATTGTTAATGAGAACCTCTCGTTCCTATACCAAATTCAGAACTTGGCCATGAAACTCTTTGCAGAAATTGGAAATTGGGGGAAGCCAGGCCACAGCTTTTTTGTGGCCTGTATATCTTCATAATATGCCACCTCCTGGGAACGGCTGGAGATGGAGAGGAAATGAGGTAGAGCAAACACGTATTTCTAATACAAAAGGGAGTAGCCTCACAAAACCCCAGTAGACGGTTATCTTTCTAGATCAGGGAGTAAAGACTGTTAGCTTTAAATCCTAAAGGGTCTTCGTGGTTTCTGAGGGAATTTGGCACTATTAATAGAGATACTCTGTCTGTTGGAAGGATGTTGAACCACCAGGATGGTTAGCGGTATTTTGTCTTAGACATTGCTGTTCCACCTTTTCAGTCTTTCATCCTCCCTGTACGCTTGCTCATCGTCCAGGTTTTCCTCTGGATCTCTTACGCTGTGAGAGCCTTCTTGGTTTGGACCCTGCGACGTGCAGCCGAGTTCTAAACAAAAATTACACACTGCTCGTGTCCATGGCTCCTCTCACCAATGAAATCCGGCCTGTGAGCAGCTGTACCCCTCAGGTAAAGAGCCACTTGGAGCATGGCGAGTGCTGTCATTTCACCCTTCCCTGTGGTGACTCGAAGAAGAGGTTTACCGGTTTGATCATGTTATTTCTCAATTTGCAGATGCCGCATGCTCACATCAGTAACTCAGAAAGCAGTTTTGTATTTTATGCTGTTGTAAAACGTTCAGTTTCTGAGATAGAGTTGGTATGTTTTATTCATGTTTCATCTAGTGACTTGGGACACATTGACGTTTTCTTGATGAAGGCAGTGTTTTACTTTATTACTGTTTTTTTTTTTAAGGTTTTATTTATTTGACAGAGAGAGAGATCACAAGTAGGCAGAGAAGCAGGCAGAGAAAGAGGAGGAAGCAGGCTCCCTGCTGAGCAGAGAGCCCGATGCGGGGCTCCATCCCAGGACCCTGGGATCGTGACCTGAGCCGAAGGCCGAGCCTTTAACCCTCTGAGCCATGCAGGCGCCCCTTATTACTGTTTTTTAAAGATTTCTATTTATTTATTTGAGAGAGCGTATGAATATGAGTGGGGAGAGGGGCAGGAGCAGAGAGAGAATCTCCAGCAGACTCTGCACTGAATCTAGAGCCCAACACGGGGCTCAGTCTCAGATCCTGAGATCCTGACCGGAGCCGAAACCAAGAGTCAGACGCTCAACCAATGGAGCCACTCAGGCGCCACGTTGATGACTGCAGTATTTTAAAGGGAATGTTCTGGGTGCTCTATGAAGGAAGCCTGGATTGCCTGCAGGGATAAAGTCAATTTAATGAGGAAAAATAAAGTGTCTTAGAAGTGGAGTTACGATTGCTAAATAAACCGGAAAGGAAAGACTGCTTGAAAGCTAGAACTCTGGGTATCTCACAATTGACTTATGAACATTACTGCTCTCTTTTTAAACATAAATCAGTTGTGTATTTGTATGCTTAGCAAGGACATTGTGACCTCTACCATTTTCAGAGAGCGGGGATCATGTTGCTCTTCTTAGTGCTACATCCTGCCTGGTTCCCTAGATGTGCGAGGTTAATGGTGTAGAAGAAGGGAAGCGATCCTGGTACAAGGTTGATATTTATATGCTCTTCTAGCTGCCTTAGTGAGCATACCTCGCGCACCCCCAAATTTGTCCTCTATCCAGTAGGAGCGGTTATAGGTTAGCATTTACCAACTTTAAAAAAAATAATTCTTTGTGTGCTCCCCCTGCAACTCTATATACACACTTTCTCCCATTCTGTGACATGACTTCTAGGCCTAGTAGGAATCCATGAACTGAACAGATGATAAGATGGATGGAAGGTTCTCTAGTTCCTTTTGTGAAAAATCACATGTGATTAATGACAGTAACTGGCACTTTGAAATAGAGCTAATTAGATGACAGGTGCTGTTTTAAACCTTTTGGAACAATCTTACAGTGTCTTTACAAAGTAGATATTTTATCGCCGCATTACAGAAGAGCAAAGTGAGGTATAGAGAGTTATAGTGAGCTTCTTAAGATGATATAGCTTAGGGGACAAAGCCAAGATTCAAACCTTGGTGTTCTGCTCCAGAGTCCATTGTGTAAGATGTGCTTTCTCAGTTCTAGGATAAGATTGAAACTGTTTGAATGGAGCATTTGAAGTTTATTTTCATAGGGATAATAGCAGTTAACATCTATGTGAGGCATTACCTATTTGCAAGACTTCATCCTTGGTCCCTGGTGAGATGTGTCTGCTTTCATCAAGTATTACAACTTTATCTTCCCTGTTTTGTGATTCCAGCATATTGGACCAGCTATCCCAGAAGTCAGTTCTGTCTGGTTTAAACTGTACATTTACTACATCACTGGGCAGGGACCACCATCTCTTCTGCTGTCCAAAGGTACAAGACTTCGAAAACTGCCAGATATATTCCAGGTACGTTGTGCAAAGTGTGTCTCTTTTTTTTCTTTATTTGTGAGGAGGGTAGAATTTGGTAAGCAGTATTTTAATGACCTTCTGAAATTTTTTTTTTTCCATTTCTGAACACCATTTTATTCATCTTTTATTCATTTTTTTTTCCCCCATAGGGTTATGATCGATTACTCATAACATCTTGGGGCCATGATCCTGGGGTAGTTCCTACGTCAAATGTGCTCACAATGTTGAATGACGCCTTGACTCATTCGGCAGTTTTGATTCAGGTACTGCTGCTTTATTTGAAACAACCAATTTCGGATTTTGACTTGGAAGATTATAAGTTGTCTAGCTTTCTGCCGAGCCGCAGTTGGATGTCAGTAATTTGAGATTTGTAAAGCTGAAATGTAAGGGATCAGATGCGGGTTTTCGTGCTGGCCTTCGTCTGGAAGTGTGGGAATCGCAGAAACAACATGGACTTTGGAGTGAGACCCAGCTTTGAATTCCAGCTTCGTCTTTTGCTACCCGTGTGGCTGTATTTACAGTAGTTGTGTTGAGCTAGAATTCACATAGCGTACAACCCACCGATTGACATCGTACAACTCCGTGGTTTTTAGTTGTAGGCACACATGTCCACAGCCTTCCCCATGCTCATTTTAGAACATTTCCATCACCTCAGGAAAGAACTCCTGAATGCTTAGTTCTCCCTCCCTTATTCCCCAGCCCTAAACAGCACCTTACTATCTCTCTAGAATGCTTATTCTGGGCATTTCACATACATGGAGTCACGTAATATGTGGTATTTTGTCACTGACCTCTTTTACTTCGCAGAATTCTTTTGAGGTTCATCACGTAGCGTGTATCAGTCCATCATGAGTCAGTACTACATTCCTTTTTATGGCCAAAGAAGAGTCCCTTGTGTGAATAGCATTTTGTTTTTCCGCCTATTGCTGATGGACATTTGGGTTTCCACCTTTCGGCTTTTACGAATAATGGTAATCACTGCTACACATGGTCATTTATAGGTTTTTGTGTGGCCATGTTGTCATTTCTCTTTGGTGTGTGTCTAGGAGTGGAAATGCTGGGTCATATGGTAATTCTGTGTGCATCTGTTTAAGGATCTTCCAGACTGTTTTCCAGAGTGGCTGCACCATTTTACATTCTCACCAGCACTCGGTATTATCTGACTTGTTTTATTATAACCCTCCTAGGGTATGAAGCGGTATCTCACTGTGGTTTTGATTTGTGTTTTCCTGATGCCTAACAATGGTGAGCCTCTTTTCTTGTGCTAATGAGCTGTGTGGCGTTTTGAAGATACTTCTCTTATGCTTAGTTTCCCACCTGTAGAATGGCCATGACAATATTTACTGTATAACAATGAAAAGTAATAGTAGCAGCTAATGAGGGGATAAGCAATTTATAGCCCTAGGATTATTGAATGAAATAGGACTGTGTGTGAAGTGTGCAGCACACTTTCTGCTTCATAGTAGGTTCTCAATAAAGATTTCATCAATTTATTCAACTAACAATCGTATGTGCCATATTCTGTGCCAGTTAATGTGGATATACAAATAAGACATAGTCCCTGAGTTCAAGGGATTTAAGTCTGGTGGGAAATGTTGCCTAAGCAGTCCATTTCGGTTCTTTCCTGAGTGCTGAATAGGATTATATGGTGCACGCATTAGAGTAGTACCCAATTCAGCCTTGAGGCAAGGAGAAGGGCTTGGGGGACACTCATCAGAGACCGTGAAACTCAGGCTGAGTATAGAAGGATGATACAGAAGAGAGCCCGGCCAGGCACAGGGGTTAGCAGGAATAAATCTCTGGGCAGAGATTTTTTTTTTCTTTTTCCCCCGCTGCTGCTTCCCTAGTACCTAGAACAGCACCTCGCTCAGAGTAGTTTCTCCTGAGTGTTTTGATGTACACTCCAGGCAGGCCCTGGAGTGGAGTGTACATTGACCGTTTTGCTACAGAGCTTACACTGTACCCTCTACATTGATAGCAGCCTGTAAAGGGTACTGAGCAGGGGATTTTTATGGTCAGTGTGTTTTGGGAAGATCAGCTTGGAGAGGATGCTACCCAGGTATGCTGCCCCCAACCCAGCAGCGTAAGAGACCTAAAGCAAGAAATCCGGTTAGGATTTAGTGTATGAGTCCCGGTAAGAGGTGAAGGCAGCCTAGATCAGGGAAGTGGTAATAAGAATTGAAAGCGAAAATGGGTTCAAGAATTATTACAAATTAAGATGAATAGAATTGATCAGATGTCTGAGAAGGATATGAGAAGAGGAAGAGAATGATTCCTGGGGTGTTGGCTTGTGAAAGTGGAAGAACGGTGCTATCCCTGCTTGACAGAATAGAGGAGGAAGAGCCAGTCACTGGGGGTCAGATGATGTGCTGCGTTTGGAGCGTGTTGAGTATAAGGTGCCCATGGGACATGTGCATGGTGGTGCTATCTAATCGGTAATTGAAAATATTTTGATATCCAAATGAGAGTTAAACAGGAGACACTGACTTGAGTGTCTGCATCAGCACGAGGAGGTAGTTGAAACCATGAGGGACGAAGTGTTAGCCAGGAAGGAGGAACACGAGGCAGGGTTTCATGGTGGGAAATGACATAATGGAATGGGTTAGGTGTGGGCTCCAGTCAGTCTGTCTAGATGCAGATCTTTGTTCTACCGCTTATGAGGACTCTCGGGTGAGTTTGATAATCTTGAATTCCTTCGCCTGCAAACTGGAGATAATAACAGGTTCTGTCTTTATAAGGTTGTTGAAACTTATGACCGAGTTGCATAATCTGCACAAAACGGGTAGAGTCCTACACGTAGCACACAGGAAGGTCTCCCGAGATGTTCAGTGTGAGGTGGCAGTGGTAGGAGAAGCAGACAGGAGTTTCAAAGTTTTGTTTTTGCTCAACAAGAATGCCTTCTTTATTAAGTGGTATGGAAGAAATACACCTTGCTGGAATTCATAACAAAATCAAGATTTTGATTAAAACCACACTTTTGTTACAGCAGTCTTGATTAGGGTTTAAATCGGAACTGTACCAATGAAGTTGAAAAGAACTGTCTGAAGAAATGTGTTCGGGTTGTTGTATGAACCATCTTAATGAGTGCTATTTTTCTCTGAAATGTTTTTTTCTTTTATAGCATAGTACTTTGACTTCAATAATGTATAGGTTTTTTTGAAAGGGAAAAACGTATAGATTGCCAGTGTCAACTTAAATTTTCTATTATAACACCACTAAATGCATGTAAACATTAGATTCTTCATGTTTATTATTTTTACATCAAAACATTTGGGGATTTAAATGCAAAAAATCCTTTAAAACTAACAGAATTCAGATGAACATTAATTGAATGCAATAGTAAAACTAAATTATGCATAGCATGGGAGTGGGGTGGTTAGACTCAGATTTTTCTTAATTTAATTTTTGAATTAATAGAATCTTCACATAATTCAGAAATAAAACACTATGAAAAGATGCACAGAGAAAAGTGTTACCGTACTTCTTATATTGTCTGCTCCCTTCTCCCCTTTTCTCCTCCAGATCAGATACATTTATTAGTTTTTGCTATCATTGTCTAGGATTTCTTTGCATGTGCGAGCCAATGCACAGTGCTATCCCCCTGCGATTTTCACTTAGCAAGTGGAGACCTTTCCATTTCAGTTCGCAGGGAGCTTGCTTCCCCCCGCCCCCCTTCGCTGCTGCCTTGAAAATACATCCATTAATTTACTGAACCCCTGTAGAGGGGCTTTTATAATTATACAATCTTGAATATATGTCAGTGAATGAAGGTTTTTGAGTTTCGCATTCCCAGCTCATGATCAGCCAGGCAGTTGACAGTGGGATTCTTTCATCAGAACTACAGCTAACCCTTGTGCGAGCGTGCTCAATTTTAGTCTCCGCTGCCTCACCTCATGGACCTGTTAAATCGGCCTCTTTGTTTTTCATTAGCCATCCACTCCATTGGAGACACATGGCCTTGTAAATTATAATATGCCCTCAAGATGGTCTTTGCTTGGTGGAGAAAAATTAAAAAATTGTTGAAAGTTTTTTAATGGAATATTAATGTAGGGTATACCATAACATGGCATAGTCTTATTTATGGTTTGATGATCTGTTTGTTCTTGGAAATACAGGTTTCTTTTATACCTTTCAACTGTGTTTCTTCACCTTTAGGGACATGGTTTGCATGGGATAGGAGAAACTGTCCACATACCGTTTCCATTTGATGAAACAGAACTACAAGGAGGTACCTTACTTTTGAATTATATCTGTTTAACTTCTTTATCATTAATCTTTGTCAGCAGTTTGGTAGAAAACGTAGCAGGAAGTGAATTCTTAAAATTTTTCAGTCCTAGGTGCTTATGCTGCTTTTAAAGACTGTTAGCGAAGATGGAGGCACCTGGATGGGTTGTTGGTTAAGCGTCTGACTCGTGATTTTGGCTCAGGTCATGATCTCAGGGTCAGGAGATCAAGCCCCATGTTGGGCTTCACACTCAGCGAGGAGTCTGCTTGAGATTCTCTCTCTCCTTCTGCTTCCCCTGACTCTCCGTGCCCTCATGCTCCTGTGCTCATAGATAAATAAATCTCAAAGAAAGGAAGGAAGGAAGGAAGAAAGGAAGAAAGGAAGGAAGGAAGGAAGGAAGGAAGAAAGGAAGAAAGAAAGAAGGAAAGGAAGAAAGGAAGAAAGAAAGAAAGAGGCAAAGATAGTTTTCTGTCATGTGCCTTTTCCCACAAAGAACTAGTAGAATAAGACTCAGGACCTTTGAAGGAATGCTAGTCTGCCTTGGAGATGAAGAGTTTATCGGTGGGTCCCTGCCTGCTGGAAGACTAGGTTTTCTCTCTGTTTAGCCTTTCACTTTCCTTGTGTTGTTTATTTGGAGGCTGGAGGACAAGACAGTTCATTGGGAATATTTCATGCTTAGTTGATTTTTTTCTCCCCAATGTTGCATACTGTCCCTCCTACCTCACGGGGGCTTTTTTTTTTTTTTTTTAATTTTATTTATTTATTGGACAGAGAGAGATCACAAGTAGGCCGAGAGGCAGGTAGAGAGAGAGGAAGGGAAGCAGGCTTCCTGCTGAGCAGAGAGCCCGATGCGGGGCTCGATCCCAGGACCCTGGGATCATGACCCGAGCCGAAGGTAGAGGCTTAACCCACTGAGCCCTCATGGGGGCTTTTTAAGGTAATTTAGACCCAGGTGTCAATCAACATGTATGTACTTTACAGTGTACGGAGTACTTGTATGGATTCCCTCTTTCGGCATTTGAGTTTACCATTAAATATTATTTTTGCTATTAGAGAGGATGTGAGTTAGAGGTTGAGCTAAATTAAGCTAGTTAGAATCAAGGGGGGAAAGCCCTGTTTAAAGTTAGCTCTTTCTAGAATTGGATGCGAGCTACAAGTGCATTTGATGAAAGATGCTCACAGAATTTCTGTTAAAAGTAAATTTATTCTTCCTTCTGTTTATTATAGGAGATAATCCTCTCTCTTTTGAATGTTAAAAAGGTATATATATTCAAAAGAAAAACATTATCTGATTTAAACTGCCATATATTCATACAGCACTTACATTTCCCACTCCATGTAAAACTGCTGTTCTGTAACCTTATGTTATGGTTATGTTTCTGGTTTCATATGTTTTTTCTGTATATTTCTGGTTCTTAGAGCCATGATGCTTGAATTTTTAGAGAGCAGTGAATGGTTCAAGTAAACTTAGGTTAATTTATATAAGAACTTAATGTTCTTCCAGAATGATAGTAGTCACCACTTTGCCTTACTTCCCCAAAGTAGGGAAAAGGAAGGTTTTAAAATTATTTTTTTCCTCTTCACATAGCCAGACTGCAGAAGCCTTGCGTTTGAAGTTCAGTTCTCTTTTGCCTGTTGTGAATAAATGTGCGTGAAATTTGGAGAAGAGTTTTCTCTTCCAAAAAACAGCCCCTTTCTCAGAAATAAGTACTTCTCTGCAATTAAATTCTGCTGCTTAATCCTTTGACACTTCATAAATTCTGTGGGAAAAATATTTGTTCACCTGAAGATACAGGCTAGTGACAACAGGATCTTCAAATGTGTAAAATCTTAAAGACTGATTAATAGCTCTCTTGCCTTGGGAGAGGATTGTGTGAATAATAAAAGAAAGGAATCTTCGTATTTGAGTATGGAGCATCTTTTTGTTTATAAGTTCACTGAGTTATGAGGAATTGCACTAATATTTGAATAATTTATTAAGGATATAGTTTCAAGTGCACTTTAGCTTTAGTTTCAGTAGGAATAATTTTACTTCTAAAAATTTTTCAAAAACATGGTGTGTATTTAATACATTTCTTGGCAGAAGCCCAACAAGTAAGCATTTGAGGCAGAATAGAACCACAAAGAGAAGCCTTGAGAATTTGCCCCGACTGGTCCTGTTTGCTTACTTAGGTAATTTGTTTTGATACAGTAAATGCCTCCTGGAGGCTGTAAATAATATGTGTACACCGGCCTTTCATGTTCATGGGTAGTTCTTTGTTAGAATCAGTGTTGATAGATTAAAGTTCTAAGAGTTGATTAATAGGGGGCGCCTGGGTGGCTCAGTGGGTTAAAGCCTCTGCCTTCGGCTCAGGTCATGATCCCAGGGTCCTGGGATCGAGCCCTGCATCGGGCTCTCTGCTCGGCAGGGAGCCCATTTCCCTTCCCCTGTCTCTCTGCCTGCCTCTCTACCTACTTTTGATCTCTGTCTGTCAAATAAATAAATCTTAAAAAAAAAAAGAATTGATTAATAGAAGTATAGTTACATTTTTGATGTCATGTTATAAAACTGTTTACTTAAAATGTGCTGTCAATCTTTGTCCTCAGAGTTTACTCGTATCAATATGGGTGTTCATAAAGCCTTGCAACTATTAAGGACCAAAGTGGACTTGCAGCATTTTTGTGGCTATGTCACCATGTTGAATGCTTCTAGCCAGCTTGCACACCGAAAACTCAGTGATGCTTCTGATGAACGAGGTCAGCCAACAGTTGGGTTCTTTGAATTAAGATCATTTTGTGGAGTTGATCACAGTCTTAATACTTAAGAAGCAGGGAAACTTCCGTGGGATGTTGAATTATTTTATGCTTGGTGTTTTTTCACTAAGATGATGGAGTATTCTGTGACGTTATTTGGACAAACCAGTTGTTGGGATGGAGAAAACACTATGCGCCCAGCTAAAGGGGTGCTAGCCTGGGGTTGGAGTATAGAATGGGTGTGGGGTGTTAGCCCTGTCATCTCTGTAGGTTTTAATTTAAGTCCTTTTGTGGGGTGATGGCTTCAAGACTTCAGTCTCTGTGTAATACTGTTTCTCAAGTAGAATGAACAGTTTTTCCCATTGAAGCTTTCTCTTTCTGTCAAAGGCATGACTGTCTCAGTAACCCAGGCCTGTAATCTTAATCTTTGTCTCTTCCTTCTTTTGCCATGATGGCCGTTTAGTTTCCACATTCTGTGAATCAGTCTTTAAAAATGTCTGTTATATCCTATCTTCCCTTCTCCGTTTTACATTCGCCGTGACGGTCACGCTGGTCTGCGTCTCAGTCGTCTGACCATGAGTTGTTGGAGCCTTGTCCTGCTCGTTAGCCTTCCTGGCCTCATTCTCCTTCCTCTGTCTCCACTCTAGCCTTCATGCTGACAACAGCTGATTTTCCTTTTTCCTTTTAATTAAAAAATGTATTTTCCCATCACCTTCTGCTTACTGATTGTTTCTGCTCTGGAAGAATTTTGGCTTGTATGTGGCTTTGGTACCAGCTCTGGTCTGTGACTCTAGAAAACCTTTCAGTTCAAACATCTGCTGTTGATAGATATTGGTTCCCTAAGCCTCTTAGCATGGAATCCTGAGTAAATATGGTCCATTGCTCGATGTCCAGTGGATTGGCTTGGCTCCCTTTGAGTTACATATCCAGCCTTGGTCCTTTACCTTTGGCCGGAGAATCTGAGTAAATCTTAACAGTTGGCCGCCACATATCACAGGGCATTTTCCAAACGGGGGTATGGGTAAGGCAGTCATTTCAAAGCATGTCTGCTACAGTCATTTTTATTTCTTTCACCGCTCAAACATTTATGGAGTACCCGCTTAGGTGCTGAAAGGATTGAAATTACTAAGACCAAAGGAAGGGAGACAAGCCAGTGAACCAGCCTGCCTTGTAGTGTTAAGAGGCTGCGATAGAGCTTGGCAATGGCTTAATGGGCTGCCGTAGGACAGAGAAGGTGCATCTCGGCCCTTCTGAGCTATCAGAGGAGGCTTCTTAGAGAAGGTAAAGTTTGAACTCAGTTTTGAAAAGTGAGGCTTTGGGTACATAAAAGATGTTTGTTTATTTGGACAGTAGCAGCCTTTCAGGCAGAGGGAACCAGGCAGAAAAATAGCTCTTCTGGGCCAAAAGAAAGAATTTGTTGGAAAGTAGTAGAAAATGAGAGTAGAGAAGTAGGTAAGGTCAGGAGATCTTGGAGGATCTCATGTGCTAAAAGATAGGAGGACTCCAAATCTTGAAGAGGAGTGACATAATCTGGCTGCATGTTTCCATGGGGATAGAAGCGACTTTGGTAATGATCTAAGTGAAAGTCTGAACTTGTGTTCTGACTTTAGAGTCCTCGTTTCCTGGGGCCCAGGTTTCCCCACTTCGGCGCCACGTATATTCTGAGTTGGACAGTTCCGTGTTGTGGGGCCTATCCCGTGCGTTGAAGCATGTTTAGCTCCCTGGATATCAGTAGCGTCCCTCTCCCCATGCTTGACAGCTGCATCGGTCTCCAGACATTGTCAGAGGTCTTCTGGGGGGCAGGATTGCCCCCTAGTTGGGAACAGCTGCTATAGGCTGAAGACCCTTCGTTGTTCTCCATTGTCATTCCTGTTGCTGGAAGTCTTCTCTCCCTTTAGGGCTGACGGACGACTTACGCCAACTACGAGAATCCTAACGTTGTGTATGTCTTTTCATTGCAAGGAGAACCTGATTTGGCTTCTGGCTCGGATGTAAATGGGAGTACAGAGTCATTTGAAATGGTCATTGAGGAAGCAGCTATAGACTCGTCAATAAAACAAAACTCTGGTACGGCTTTAAGAATTATTTGCAGTTTTAGGGGAACCTGGGTGGCTCAGTGGGTTAGGCCTGTGCCTTCTGCTCAGGTCATGATCTCTGGGTCCTGGGATTGAGCCCCGCATTGGGCCCTCTGCTCAGAAGGGAGCCTGCTTCCCCTCACTCCCTGCCTGCCTCTCTGCCTACTTGTGATCTCTCTCTCTGTGTCAAATAAATAAAATCTTAAAAAAAAAATTATTTGCAGTTTTAGATTAGCTTCAGAGATTGAACTCTTCTGTTAAATCATTTGGATGTCATTTGTTTGCTCTGATTATCCATAGTGGGCCTTTTATTTTAGTAAGTATTCACTAGGAAACATGTTTATGTATTTAGAATAACAATGAAAATGTTACAAAAATAGGACCTGAGAACAATGACTTCAGTTTCATTTTTCCTGTGTTAAATTCTTTCATCTTGTTGATGTCTTACAGTCTCTCTCTCTCTCTTTTTTTTTTTTTTTTTTTTGGTAAAAGGCCATTTTGAGCATCTGGTGAAAACTTTGTGCCTTCCCCCCAGAAGCATGTACTTACTCAGTAAAGATTCTTTCCTGTTGCAGAGATCACTGACCCGCCCTAAGTCCTCTCCCCTGTGAAGCCCATTGGTGGACCCCAGGGGTAGGAGGAATCTGAAAATTTCTGGATGTCTGTTAAGAAACCCTGGTCAGTTAAAAATTTGTAAATACGTATGTGATTAATGACTATAAATTGTCTTCTAGTTGCCACAACAGAAGCAGATTGGGTTCCTCTCGAGCTGTGCTTTGGAATTCCATTGTTTAGTTCAGAATTAAACCGGAAAGTTTGTAGAAAAATTGCTACACATGGCCTTTGCAGAAAAGAGAGGTAAGGGTTTATGTTCACTGTCATCTTTTCATCTGTGAGGCTTAGGCTGTCAGTTGCCACGTCTTATTTTCCTTTATTTCACACATGAGCATAGTAATGGCCTTGTGTCTATTCATTGATTGAATAAAGATTGCTAGCTTAAGGGTTTTACTATATTTTTCAAAATTAAACTTTAGCATCTCAAAACTTTGATACATGCAAACATTGGGGGCACATATTTTGGTTAATTTTAATTATGTTAACTTAGTTACCCGATTTGGTTAGAGTGTGATATAAATTAGCATGCTTATGTGAGATCGTGCCTAGTGTTTGTAATATGTATGTCTCTGTAGAATGTTTCCCTTGTGTATTTCTGTCCCTTTGAGCAAACACACTCAAGTTATGTCATGTAAATAGTGATTCTTTTGTTGGAATTATAGCTGAATTTCTAAATTTTCTTCAGTTTCACATTTTCTAAAGTGAGCATGTATTACTTATCAGAGATGACGTGGAGGTTTGTCTTGCATGCCGACTCTGATCCATTGGGAGCCGTTGCTAAGAGGCAGTGTTGGAAAATTTTTACGACTGTTGAGCAGAGAGGAATGTCCTTGAATCTGACTCTCGTGGCAAGGGTGTCTGGGAGAGTGGATGTCCACAAGCCTCCTTGACTTCTTCATTTAAGAAAACAAAGTTGGATAATAATTCATTCAGTTGACTTAATAATATTTTATCAGAAGATTAAAAGTACTCAGTCGACACAAATTTCAGTAATTCTCCAAAAGTCATCTACATGAATAAAAAAGTAGAAATACGATACAGCTTTAAAGATTGCCACCATAATTGTTACCAGTTTCCATATTTGAAAAATACTTGATTTTGGTGGGTTGATATATAGTTATTCTGTCAGACCTTTTATCAGGATGTATTTTAAAATAAATTTGGGTATTTGAAGTTGGTATCATACTTGTCATTCCTACTTGAAAAGTTCTCTTTCATTTAACATTTGTATTTGCTGCTAATAGTTTAAGCTTTTGCTAATGGTAACTTCTCAGTTTTGGTTTTATACGTGATTTTTTATTTCAAAATGGTCTTTTTAGGCATTATTAACTCCCAGTTTTAATATTATTAGCTTGATGAGAACCATGGCAATTTTCATTGCCCCCAGGACAGTTTCATTGATGAGAACCGTTGAAATTTTAAAAAAAATTTATGTGATTAATCGGAATATATTTACATATATAAATGCACTTAAGTTGCTGAAATTAAACTCGCGAGATACTCATTCTTCTCATTAAATTTGTTTTAAACTTTTGCCCCTGTTTTTCAGCCTTCAGAACCTCTTACATTCCAGTAGAAAACTCTCTCTACAGGTCCTTAACTTTGTTCACTCATTCCAGGTAACAAAATTTTAAAAATATGGTATTTTTGCATAGAGCTTTAGAGGATAGGATGCAGAACACTTCCATGTTTGTCCTGGGTCTCCACAGTAATAAAATAAGCATTAATTTTCATTGATAAATAAAGATGCTGAGATTTAGGAAGTTCATTTTCTTGCACATGATTTACTGGCTGGGTGGAGAAGGTCTAAAGCTGGGACTCTGTTCTGTGCCAGGGCATCGTTCAACAGAAACGCGTTACGCGGCTCCCATGCTGCGTAACTGCGTTAACCACACACAGGTGCTGGTTGCTGGGTATGATCTGCCCCTGTTAACTGCAGTAGTTCTGGGTTGGGGCTGAGGCGGCTGTTTGTAGTTCAGGCCAGTGCTGTAGACCTTTTGTCTTCCCCTCCCCCAGGGAAAGAAAGGGTACTCCGTAGATTTGATTTGTGGATAAACTTTTGGACAGAAATATTTCTGTTCAGAATATCTGATCCAGTGTTACAAAATCAGTATTTTGGAGTTCTGTTTCATTTATTTTTTTCAATAACTACTTGAGGCTGCCAGACCCTTTACTAGGTGCTGGGGAAGCAATGCTGTCCAGGACACTAGTAGAATTTATAATGTTTGAGAGACAGAAGATAGTGGAGTGAACATTGAAATATGTAAGTAATTACAGATTTCAGTAAGCACTTTGAAAGGAGCCAGACTCCTTGGGATCTGATGGAAGCCAAAGGGAGACCTAATTTAAATGGACAGAGATGATACATAAGCTGAAACTTCCTAAGGGATGGAAAAGAGTATGTTGTGCAGAGCTTAGTAGGAGCAAAGGTCCTGTGTCAGGAAAACACTCTGTGTCCAAGGGAATGAAAGGGAATGAAAGAAGGCTGGTGTGGCTGAAGCCTCATGAAAGTGGTTGGGGAGGTGGGGCATTGGCAAGAGGTGAGGCGGAAGAGGAGGGGAGGCAGGGCCTTCTAGAGGATAGTAAACAATTTGTATTTTATGCTCGAGTGCAAAGAGAAATTATTAAAGACTTTTAAACAGGAATGACATTATTTCTGATCAACTTTTTTAAAAGATTAGTTACTATTTGGAGAGCAGATTAAAAAGGGACAAGCTCGTTCAGAGACCATGTGAGACTTTTTGGTAGCTGAGCACCCTCTTGAATTAAAAATAACCCCAAATTCTGCATGTATCCATAATAAAAGTTTATTACCCATGTGTACTGTTATATCAATCAATTATGTATATTATAAAACATAACACAAAAATAGAAATTCTTCAGGGATGCAGTAGTTGATACAGGTTTTCTAAAATTTTTGTAGTCCCATACCCCATTTTGGAGACCACTGGCCTAGACTGTGGTGCTGGGCTGTGGTGAATGAATAAAGTGTTGGAGGCGGATTGCTGGAAGCTGGCAGTTAATTCAGTGTGAGGAAAAGATTGACGGTGAAAGGAAGGGAGGAGTCAGGCATGATTCTCCAGTTTCTGGGCGAGCTTGATGTGTGGAGTAGGGAGGACAGGGGAAGAGCTTGGAGGGTGAAGATAACCTGGTAGGTGTGGAATGGATGGCGAAACACCAAGAGCCGATGTGAGGGTGTGAGCCTGGAGTCCTGGGGAAAGGTCTGCCCTAAATATGTGAATCAGAGAGCCCTGGGAGCGCATGGAATGTTCTGGTGCTTAATGCTATGTGAGGGGTTTTTAGAGATTGTCTAAGATTGAACCTTTGTCTTCTCTTACAGTCTCATAGTCCATTATTTCTATTTATTTCTAAGCACTTAGGACAGCCTGACTTGTACTAGCCATTATCGCATTGCGGTGATACCTGTCGCTGGTTATCTCAGGGTCTGTGAGGTAGAGATCTGCGTCTCCCGCAGTGTTTTGCGTTCCATAAACATTTCTTGGGTCAGCGAAGTCTGTATTTATTATGGCCTGTATGAAGTAGTTTGGTAAAGTGTTGGTTATAGGATTTTTCTCCTTTCTTTGTCTCTCAGGAAGGTGCTTCAACCCTGGACGTTCCCACCGAGGCCGGCTTTTCCAGCGTGCTCTCGCAGTCCTGCGCCGAGTCGGGCGTTCCACTTCCGGCAAAGAACTTAATATTTAAAGATGGCGTCTTGTCAGAGTGGAGTGGACGGTCACCCTCCTCGCTTCTTATTCCTAATCTCCATTTGCAATAATTTGGTTCCACCCTTCGTTGCTCACACTTCTGCCTTTTTTCTTTCTTGACGTTAGCTTTATAGTGCCAGCCACTAAAAAGCATCGTGCTGCGGCAGCGCAGTTCACGCTTCACTGATGTTCAGCAGTTGGGGAACGGGTTGGCGTTTTCTGAAGTTTCCCTCATTATGGCACCTCCTCACGCCACAGAGAGCTTTTTAGCAGCCTGCACTGTATTTTTTACCTTGAGACAATCTGCATTTCTTTTATAAAACTGAGGATATATACTTTATAGGCTTTACGATGACTGTTACCGTTTATAAGCAGTCACTATGAATATTGTAGTGGTAATTTTATATGTTAGTTTATCAAACATAAATCTTGTTTAATTTTATATTTTGTTACCTACTCTTTAGGGGATCACGGGAAGAGGCGGAACTCTTCCCCTAAAAAGGCTTCTTGGTACTTTAAAGTAGCAAAACTATAAAACAATAAACATCCAGTTTTGAGAGATGATACGATGGGGCATTAAGAATTTCTGTGGATGTCTGTAAATTATGTATATGAGTTGAACATTGTCGAAGGTATGTAAATCAGCATAGTTATGTATAACTTAACCTTGATTTATAAGGTCTTAACTCAGACTATCACTATACATTGACATCTCATGAGAAGCTTTGAAAAACATTCTATTTTTAAACCAATGTTTATATGTGGACTTCCGTTGTCACTCTGGGCTTTATATTTTCATAGAGTCTTTATGGAAGAATAGAATTTATTTTCCACTCTTGTAACTGTGGCTGCTGCACGTTTTCACCCAGACTGATTCTTTGTTTAGTAGCTTTACCAATGAATTGTTACGAAATCGAATTTGATGTTTTGAAACCAAGGATTGTGATTTTAGGTTAGAATTACATATTAGAGGCATTAAGGCTATGTCTTCTGATAAAAAACACTTTGGTGATAAACCTGCTTTGAGGACTTTCTTAGGCAATCTGGATCTTAAATTTATGTGACTAGTTTTGGAGGAACTGAGAAAAATTGAGTAATTTCAAAATGTTTCTTTGGTCATTGGTTCTTTTAGATATCAAATGGTAATAAGAATAATTGGAATCAGTTTCTAGATTTTCTAAGTTACTTTCCTTGGGAAGTTTGTGCAGTGTTATAGTTTAGTGTAGCTCTTCTCATAGGATAATGGTTTGCTCGTTTAAAACTGTAACCAAACTAACTGGTCAGACAACATATATATCTAAAATACTAAAAGCGTTAGAAAATTCGGGAATGTTAGAACCTAAACATTTTTGCTGATAATTTTTGTTATTTATAGAACTGGTATTTGTGTACTTAACATACTTCTGGAAAAATATGCCTTTCTTAAAACTGTTAACGTAGCCATGCATTCAATACCATGGCCTACCTATAGAATTGAATATCTCGGAGCAGGTCACCTGTGACACACAGTCAGTGCTGTGTTTTGGGGTAAGTGCAGTAACGTTTCGTTTTCTACTTTGTCTTATATGAGGTAGAAATCAAGTGTATGTTATAAATGTTTGTCTATAAAAGGAAAAATACATACTAATATTAAAATAATTTCTTATGACTGTGAATCACTCATTTATTTTTCCAATAATTGATATTGTACATTCCTAGTGCTATTAGGTATGTATGTAACTTTTATAGTTTCTCAACAGAAAGTTGTAAGTATTTCACTTGATCAGGGCTCTTTAATCTCATTTTCATCTGCTTTGTTTATATTAACTGTAGTTATTTTATTTATTCCTGTGTTAATCTAAGCCTACAGTAATGACATGTACACTAATAAAGAATCGAATAATCTGTAGTTGTTGGCGGGGAACCCAGTGGGTGGAAAGTTGAAAACTTAAAATATGGGAGTGATTTGCTGCTGTATTTCCTTTGAGAGATAATGGAGGAAGAATTGGGACCTAATAGTGATCATGAATTTTAGGGAAAGTACTGGCAAAACAGGTGGGCAACTCCCATGAATGAGGAAAGGTTCTGAGTCTCAGTTGAAAAACCTCTCATACTTTTAAGGAGGGAGAATCTGCTTTTTAGAGCTGTTAGTAAAATGTGAAAGCTGCTTTTGTGCTTTGCTTTATGAATTTGGCTTTGTTTCATCCGTGTGTTAACTCGTGGAAAGATGCAGCTCCTAATCCTACAGGTGTTGATCCAATTCAACAAAATGTTAAATTTTAAGTGTAGACTTCATTTGCCAAAGAAGACTTATGAAAGAATTTTAAAGTAATTTCATTTGGCTTTGTGCTACCTCCCCCTTTCTTTTCTCCCCTTAATGTACTTAAACCGTGGGAAACATTCTCTAGAAACCAAGAGAAAAATATCCCAAAGGACACAGAATTTGGTGTGGTACAGTTTCACCTCTCAGGTGGGTCTACGGAAATGGGACTTTGTGTCATTTAAAACCATACCTGATTTTCTCGATTCCTTTATTTCATTTTAAATCTGTGATCAGATGATTTTGTATTCGTTTTTTGGGGGAATATCAGTTTCTTTTACTTGATGTTGTCAATCTTCTCTGCCATTCATGTTTCTCTTTTATGTTCAGTGTTTCAAATACAGTTTGTATTTAAAGATTTTAAAGTACCACAACTCTGTAACTGAGTACAGTGGCTTGTTTTCTGGTATGATGTTAATATTCTGCAACAAAATGTATAAAGTGTTGTCAATTTGATTATTGACACATATAATATGTTTACAAATAAACTGTGGTGTTGATCAAATTACTGCAAAAATGTGTATATAATCTCTAAGTCTCTTTCTTAATATTAAATATAGCCGTGCGTTCAGTGCTGTGGCTTTTCTTTACTTTTCTTTAATGAGCTTTTAATTTCAGATTTAGAAGACATTTCGGATTTATAGGAAGGTTGCAGAGATAGTCCAGAGATGTTTTCTACACCCTTCCCCAAGCTTCCCCTAATGTCACCACTGTATAAACTATGGCATATCTGTCAAAACTCAGAAAACTCAGACAATACTGTTTACTATACTATGGACTTAATTTGGTATTTATCTGCCTTCCGCTAATGTCCTTCTGCTGTTCCAGAATCCGATCTAGAACATTGCATTGCATTTCTTTTGTCGTTGATGCCTCCTTTGTCTCTTCCAATCTGTGACAGTTTCTCAGTCTTTCATGACCTCAACACTATGAAGAGTGCTGGTTATTATGTAGAATGTTCCTTAATAAATGGGTTTGTCTGATGTTTTCTTGTGATTAGATTTGAGGTTATGCTTTATCAGGAAGGATACACAGAGGTGCTGTGCCCTTCTGCACCGTTTCACATCGTAGGGTACGTGATGTCTGTAGGCATTATTGGTAATAGCCCTTCATTGGCTAAGTTGGTGTCTGCTGGGAATTTCCACTGTAAAGTATTTTCCTACTTCCTATACTTTTTGCCTTTGGAAGTAAATTACTAAGTCTAGCCCACAGTAAAGTGGAGGAGGGTAGTATCTATATACATTACTTAGAATTTTTCTTAAAATTTGTTCCTCTTTCCTATTTATTTGATCCTTTGTTTATATTAGTAATGTGATCATGGCTATTTATTTTATACTTAGGTTAAAATCTAATACTGTTATTTATTGTGTAAATTGTTTCAACTTGGGCTGTTGAGAACTCTTTGAGGATGACTCCTAAATTCTTTTGATGTGCCTTCCTTTTTTTTTTTTTTTAAGACCATATTTTTACTTTCTAGCACTGCCAAGTATTATCTTGATGCAGGCCCTAGAATTAGCTGTTTCTCCAAGGAACACTGGTTGCTTTTATCGAAGACTGGTATTTAGATACCAAGATCTGGGTGTTGGGTTTGCTTACTGCTACTGCTTCTACGGTTTTTTGGTGAAATGTGCTGAGAGTTACTATATGCGTACTAACCAGTATATGGTACACATCTCTATAATTATTTCTTGATATATCTGTATATATGTTGAATTAAACATTCAGTTATACTCACTGAACCAGCACTGCAGGATTCATTCTAGTTGTACCTCTGTGTTCGTTTATAACTTTTCTCTAAGAGTGAGAACCCTGGCTTCTTTATAATTTATTTGCTTATTTGTTGAACCTTGGAATATTTCTAAAGTGGTTTTGGAATAGTCAAGTTCTACCCCTGTGAGAAAAATGGCCCCACTGGAGTACAGTATTGAAGTAAGTGTTTTTGTCCTGAGCCTTATACTAGCTACTCGAAGCATCATTTTCCAAGGTAACTTAGTTCAGCTCCTGTTATTTCCCACTTCCTTCATTAAGGTTATGTCAGACATTTGGAAAACAGATTGGCTTGTCACTCTGTGCCTTCCATCTGGGGCCTCTTACATCTCAGTTGAGTTTTTCATACTATAAAATTCACTCTGTATGGCCTTTGACAAATGTATGGTATGTTCCCACTGTCACAGTACTGTATAGAATAGTCCCATCACCCTAAAAATTCCTCTCTTACTCCCCACCATCACAACCACTTACCTCTTTTCCATTCCTATAATTTTGCTTTTTCTGGAATGTCATAAATGGTGGGATTATACAATTCGTAGCTTTTTAAAATCTGGCCTTTTTTGCAATGTAGAATGCATTTTAAATTTGTGTTACATGAATCAGTAGCTCATTCTTTCTGTTCCTGAGTACTTCGTTGTATGGATGTATCAAGGTTTATCTTTTAATGGTCACATGTAGGTCTGTAGTATAAACATAATTCATTTTGCTGTGGGATTGGTGACTCATTTGCTAAGTGTATATTTAACTTTGTAAGAAACTGCCACACTGTCTTCTCAAATGACTGCCATTTTGCATCCCACCAGCAGTGAAGCAGAGTTTCTGTTATAGTGGTAACTTTGTGGCTGAAATGTTCATTTCCTCATGAAAAATGATGTTGAGCATCAGTCTTCTCATATGCTTACTTTCCACTCACATATTTTGGCTGAAGTGCCTATTCAGATCTGTTGTCCGTATTTTAAAAAGTTGGGCTTTACTGGGGCTCCTGGATGGCTCAGTCTGTTAAGCCTCTGCCTTTGGCTCAGGTCATGATCCCAGTGAGCCGTTCCACTAAGTGGGGAGCCTCCTTCTCCTCCCTCTGCAACCCCAGCCCCCACTCGTGCTCGCTCTCTCGCTCTACACTCTCTG